GTAACTTTTTAAAATATTTCAAAATATTACGATATGCAAAGCTTCGTAATTTTACGATTTGTAATATTCTGTAATTTTACTGCGTAATACTTCACAACTTTTTAAAATATTTTGAAATTCTATGATGCGTAATGCTTCATAATTTGACGATTCGTAATATTCTGTGATTTTACACAACTTAATATTTAGTAATATTTCAAAATATTTAGATAAATAATACTTCATTTTCTGTACTATAAGTTTATATAATGTATGTTTTATTAGATATAATTTTATTAAACCATAAAAAATTACAAGTATTTATTAATATATACATAAAAGTAAAAAAAAGAAAGATTAAAGAGTAACAATATTATTAGACGTAAAAAAAAGAGAAACAGCTATAGTAAGTTGATGATCAGCAAAAATGAAATTCTGTGTATAAAGTCTATGGGTAAAAAACTAATACTTTACAACTTTAGGAATATAGAAATGTAGGTTTTTGCGTATCATTTTATACAATTTTCAAATAAAATAAAAAATAAAATTTGTGCAATAGAGATTGTCAAATTTGCTGCATTGTGAAATTTTATATAAAAATTGCAGAACTTTTTATTATACATATTTTCCATTTAATTAATAAATATTTTTAAATTAAAATAAATTTATAATTATAAAACATAATAAATAATTCTAATTTTTAAAAACTTACTGATTTTGCTAAATAAAAATTTAAAAATAACAAAAAATCTAGTTTAATAATCCACTTTTTAATATTAATAAAAGTTGTTTATTTTATCAAATTATATCTATGAATAAAGTTTTAAAGATGATTCTTCACTTAGTTATCTATCTTATTTTTTACCATGAAAATAGTTTACGCAAACTATATATAAAAGTCTTGTGATTTACCGCAATGCAGTAATTTTAACAATTTCTATCACATAAATTTTATTTTTTATTTTATTTGAAATAATTTGAAATAATAGGCAAAATCTTCATTTTTATATTTCCAAAGTTGTTAAAGTATTAGTTTTTTATTTATAAACTTTACTTTGGAAAAATTCCATTTTTGCTAATCATTTCTCTCATTAAGTGATGAATCGTCACTTAAGGAAAAATACTATTAATTAGAAAAATTGACTAAAATTGCAAAAAAATTGCAAATGCCATTTTATAGTTATATAATGATAAGGAAATCATACACAAAAATCTTATAAGTATATTATAGTATTAGTAAATATTTAATAACACTAGTTTCTATATTGCATAATTAATATCATCTTTTTTAGTATCATAAAAATAATACTGAAATATTCTTTCAAATACAAATCTTTTTAGCTATCTTTAGATTACAGAATTAGGCAAAGGCAATTTATTTTCTAGGACTATTTACAACTCTTTTCAGATATACATATATTTAGATTTTAGATACATCTAATTATACATATAGCCCATTAAGAAGGTATGTGAAAGTAATATTAGGTAATTAAACAATTTTAAACAAGTTTTTAAACAGGATTTTGAACAATTCTCTTATATTTAAAATCTTATTCAAAACCTTTAAAGTTAAAAATTGTGTCTAAAATTTATTAATTATCACTGCATTGCATAAGAGACTATTTGAATAAGAGAATTATTTTTTGATTACACAGATATTAGGATCTCATCTTATATCTTCTGTCTGTGAAACTTAGTGTTAAATACTGAGATAGGTTCTTTTAACTTGATCTTGACATATGTTTTCTTCGATAGAAAGTCTGTTTTTTTTATAACTTTAGGTAACCTTATTGAATTTCTTTGTTTACTTTACTAATTATATCATGGAAATTTTCTAACCATTTCATGGATGTTATTCCTGTCTTTAGCTATGTATTTGAAAAGAGATTCTTAAATTACATTCAGTATATATTTGCTATTTGTATCTATCCAGTTTTCTGAATCTTATTATAACACTTAAACAAGATCCCATTTACTTATAAAATAGATCATCTCTAAGCCTAAGGTAAAAATTATATATAAAATTCTTTGCAGATCCTACAGGACCCTGAAAAATACATATGGAGGTCATAAATGATCGGCAAGATTTTGGCCTAAAATAAGCAACTTTTCAGGGCTAGAATTATGATAATGCTGGCTTGTATCAAAACGGACAATAAAATTTAAGCCGGCACTATCTAAAAAAGGTAAGATTTTCATAAAAATTTAGGTTCTTTTTAAGCAAACTCAAATGTGACCTTTTTATGTATTTTTCAGGGTCCTGATTCTACTATAAAAGGAAATTTTATATTATATTGTTATGGTTTTTTTCCTTTTTAGCTAATTAACCAATAGAATTTAAGAAAAAAATAAGGTAAAAACTATTAGTAAAGAGCTAATTTCTACTTTTATTATAAGTAAGCGGGATCTTACTTAGACTGTTCAGGAAAAAATTACATATCTGGTTATTGGTAAATTCTGATCTAAAATCTGATGTATCAGAGACTTAATATGTCCTTTTTTATAGATCTTCACAAATCTGTTCAGAACTTTGTTCACAGTTTTATCCTTCGCATTAACTCATTTACTCGTAACTTTGATCACTACAAGGAAGTAATAAAATCCTTTAAGATCAATTGGTATTTCTGTAAGATTAGCCTGATGCATAGCATTTGGTATTTATACAATAACCTGTGAATCAGTGGATATTCTAATGCCTTCTTCTTTGGAGGTTTCTTGTAGAAGTTGTAGCACTCTTCACCTTTTAGAATTTATACTGTCCAGAAAGATTATAGTACTTGTAGTAATTCTTTAAGGGTGTTATACCATGACAAATTAAAAGAAGGATTTTGACCTTTAAATCAAAATGACGAAACTTTATTGCAGAACCTGTAAGGAATACATTAATATAAAAAACAGAGAGTGAATTGTTACTGAAGATAAAGGACCTAATATGGTGTGTGGTATTTGTTCTAGCTGTAAAAAACAATATCTTTATTCATAAATAAAAAATGGGTAGTTAAACAGCGTGATGAGGAAAAGAGAGAAATGACTAATGTTAAAAAGAGAGAGAAAAAATATATATATATGTATGTATAATGTATGTATATCTTAATTAAAGCTCTGAACGGTTCGGGCTAAACCGGGGAACCGATCCGAAACTGGTTCAAAATTCGGTTCGGTTCGGTTCGGGTATTAGAACCGAAAAACTGGCAGTTCGGTTCGGTTTAATCCGATTTTTTATAAAAATGCGAAAAATCGAATAGCCGGCCATCTAGTGATCGTACAAAGTCGAGCCATATATCAATGGATACCTCTCGACGAGACGCGTCGAATGGTGGTAAGATCATGTCTCTAGCATCGATAGATCACACGTTAACCCACGCTAAATGATTTATCAATAATTGGAATTAGCAAGCTATCTATCGGTGCTAGAGACATGATCTTAGCATCATTTGACGCGTCTCAGTGAGACAAATCCAATGAATATAAATTCGTTCATGTACGACCACTGGATGGCGAATAATATCAAGTTTCGCATTTTTTTAAAATTTTCGAGCGTTAAAAATTAAAAATTCCGATACATGAATTTATTCGTCGTCCAATGGTTGTACAAATATGAATTAGGACTCATTGGATTCTTCTCGATGAGACAAGTCGAATGGTGGTAAGATCACGTCTCTAGCATCGATAGATAGCTTGCTAATGCCAATTTTTTATAAATTATTTAGCGTGAATTAACTTACGATCTATTAATGCTAGAGACATGATCTCACCTCCATTCGACTCGTCTCATCGAGAAGAATCCAATGAGTCCTAATTCATATTTGTATGACCATTGGACGACGAATAAATTCATGTATCGGAATTTTTAATTTTTAACGCTCGAAAATTTTAAAAAAATGCGAAACTTGATATTATTCGCCATCTAGTGGTCGTACACGAACGAATTTATATTCATTGGATTCGTCTCACCGAGACGCGTCAAATGGTGCTAAGATCATGTCTCTAGCACCGATAGATAGCTTGCTAATGCCAATTATTGATAAATCATTTAGCGTGGGTTAACGTGTGTTCTATCAATGCTAGAGACATGATCTTACCACCATTCGACGCGTCTCGTCGAGACGAATCCAATGATATATGGCTCGACTTTGTACGATCACTAGATGGCCGGCTATTCGATTTTTCGCATTTTTATAAAAATCGGATTAAACCGAACTGAACCGCCGGTTTTTCGGTTCGGTTCTTACGGATTTCGGCTCTAATCCGAACCGTCTATAATCCGGACCAAACCGACCCGTTCGGAGCTTTAATCTTAATGCACAAAGATACCATAAAATTGGCTGACTTTGGTCGTTCATTTGAAAAAGAAAAGGATTGCAATAATACTGGAGCTTATGGTATAATTCCTTATATAGATTCTAAAATGTTTAACCAAGGGATTTCATATAAGATAAATGAGAAATCTGATATTAGATATAGTTTAGGTTTATTATTCTGGAAATTAACCAGTCATTCATCACCTTTTAAATACGAGATGAGAAAAGATCACACTTCTTTTATGTTTGATATCCTTAAAGGTTTAAGAGAAAACCTTATACAAAACACGAATGCCGCATTTGTTGGATTATATCAAAGTAAGTATAAATTATAAACTAATGACTCCTTTGTAGCATAATTTTTTTTCTTGTCGTAATCTAATTTTGATTCATTTGAACAGAATGTGGGAACACGAACCCTGATATTCGTCAAGTAAATTCAGAACTCAACTGTATTGATTCCAAAACAATAATGTATCTACTGCAGTTTATTCCAAAGAGATAGAGACAACCAAAAAATTTAATTCGCCCAAAGATAAAAAGACGCAAGAAAAAATTGAGGACTTGCAGAAAACGCATAGCGATTTCCACGTGAAAACTTTCATACAATAAAATTAATAGTTTTGACAACCATTTGTTTATTTGACTGTTATATAATACATGAATATCAAAGTAAAAGGATAAAAAACAAAAAATAATGTAATACATGAATATCTTAAGTATAAGCCAAAACAAAAAGAAATATAAAAATAAAGGTAAAGAATGATAATAAATATAAGTTCATTAATATATGAAAATCTTCCAGAGATAGTTTCCATTTTGTTAACAATCTTGAAACGGTTCTCACAAAATAGATTTCTTGATTATTTGGGTTTCATTAATCCGATAAGTATTTCAGACAGGCCACTGCCTAATCCAGGAACGAAGGCATTCATAAATACTGCACCAATAGATATTAATGCAGTTCCAGCGGCTCCAGCAGTTAAAGCAGCCTGACCATTCATTTTTTTATCATTACCGTCATTTTTAACTACCGTAACTTTACCTTTTTCTTTTTCAACCCTTTCATCAGCATATTTTTCTATCTTATTACGAAGATCATTCTCTAAATCTTCTTTCTTTTTCGTGTAAGCTTTCTTTAACTCTACTTCCGTTTTATCATCTTTATCATCAATATTTTTTTCCTTTTCTTCCAATATTTTTATCTGATTCATCAAAGGGATAATTTCTGTACCAAATTTTCGCATTTCATTTGCTTCAAAAGGTTTCTTTGGGAGGTTCTTTTGGTTCTTTCGGTTCTTTTCTGATTTTTCAAGGCCGTCTAATAAAATTTTTCTTGATTTATCTCGTTTATCTTTATTTGTGGTTTTTTCAACTTTTATTTCATCTAATTTTTTTTTTAATTCTTTCACTTTCTCATTATCACCCTTTTCAGTTGCTTCAGCAAGCCTTTGGTCTAACTCAGCATATATTGGTGGATTATCTACGTAAATAGGAGTTCCTCCTTTACATGAATTAATCATAATACTTATTGCTGTACTTTCTGTAATCATCGAATGAGTATCCTCCCTGCATTCACCTTGATCATTAAATCCACAAAATCTGGTTCTTACAAGAGTGGTATAGTTTTCGAGAAGAAATTCCCCTTTTTCATCATCTTTATCACAAAAAATTACTGACTTCAGCAGATTAAACGAATCTATCACTTCATTCGTCATTCTACCTCCGGTGACAAAAAGAATATGATCAAGTTTATAATCAACTTGATGAATAGCTTGTATTATCATCACTAATACATTATCAAATGCTACGCCTGTGTCAGCAATACCTATGGTGTCAATTACTCCGTATTCCTTTCCTTCGTGGTCAAATAGTACAATCGTAGCTTCCTTGGTCTCACTAATTCCAGCGTCACTTTCTTTAAAGTAGTGCTTGGTCTTTCCATTCTCGTCAACAGCATTAACTAAAACGTTAGCTAATGTGGATTTTCCATCACCTGTGCGACCAACTAATAATATATTTTTGACATTATCTTCAACATTCTCGGCCACTTTGTCTTCAACATTCTCGGTCACTTTGTCTTTAACATTCTCGGTCACTTTGTCTTTAACATTCTCCGAAGCATCAGCTGTCTTTTTTTTACGCAAATCAACCTCTCTAATTTTTCCCGAGGCTTCATTAGCCATCCTAAGTTTCAATTCCGAATCCAATTCAATATCAACAGCTTTTGCTAAGGCTTCTTTAAAATTATATTTTTCATCTTTAGGGGGAGGATATTTCACAATCTTTATTGTTCCTTCTGAAGTGGACTCATAAGTTATTGACCAAACAATGTGACTTTTCATCATGTTTCCTTCGTCACTTATCACTATCGTTTCACTAGATGACTCGGAACTTGCCGCATCCTTTTCACTAGATGGCTTAGTGACATGAATAACTTTTTTCAAAACACGACTTACATTTTTATAAGATTCATTATCAAATTTATTAAGTTCTTCGATGATTCTATCATTTGAAATTACTTTGACATCTGGAGTTTCAGTACTTGTCGTTGTCATATTTTTATTCAAGATAATTGAATAATTGAGAAAATTTTATTCGAACCACGGCTAATTATATACATTATGCGTACATTATGCGACAATGGATGAAAAGAAACAAACGAAAATGAACGCCAAAAAACCAAAATAAGCGAACCAAATGAAACAATGAAACAAACGAAAATGAACGCCAAAAAACCAAAATAAGCGAACTAAATGAAACAAAGAAACAAACGAAAATGAACCAAAATAGGCGAACTGAATGATTTTTTGCTAAAGTCAATTTTTAATCTGATTCACAATACCAAATTAGAGTTATATATCAGTCCATCCGGATATCCGATTTTTGTGTTATCCGTTTATCCGGATATCCATTTTTTAACGGATAACGGATATAAACTCTATGGCATTTATTAATTATAAACCGCAGCAATATTTACTGTAGGTATATAACCTGCGAATTTTGAAGTTTTTTAAAGTGAAATACCTAATTTTATTGGATATCAATAATCAAGACGATGATTGAGAAATACTTTTATGATAATCATTTTTATTTTTATTGAAGATTATAATTTTGGAAATTTATTGGTTACTTAATGAAGATCACAAATTGAGAGATCATAAGTTAGGGTTTTAGTATTGTGAAATGGTTTATTGATGATTTTATTACTTCGGGAAATAACATTTTATTGATGAAGACTATGATTGAGAAATACTTTTATGGATAATCATATCTTTTAATGAAGATTATAATTTTGGAAATAATTACATATTATTGTATGGGGTATACTTGATAATAGGATAAAATGGCGCAGCCATTTTATCCTATTGTTAAGTATATCACATGCAATAATTATATTATCGTTTTAGTTCAGAGTTAAAAAAGTTTATGTATTAGTTTTAAAAAAAAAATTATATGTAAAATTTATTTTTTTTTATTCTACTTTAATACTTAAATAGTTAAATTATCGTATGATCATATACCTTTTATATTTATTTTTGCATGTATTAATAAAAAATTTTCGTAATCGATATGCAAATTTTATTAGAATTAATAAAGTATTTTTATTCCGCCATTTTTTTTTTATTTTGTACATATTATATATAAAGTGCATTAGCCCAAATTTGTTGGATTATTGTATGTCTGCATAAAATAAATGGATAGGATATTTAATATGAACCTATGTGGCTAAATGAAATGTTTTATGATTTTATTACTTCGGGAAATAACATTTTATTGGATATCAATGATGATTGAGAAATACTTTTATGGATAATCATACCTTTTAATGAAGATTATAATAATTTTGGAAATAATTAATTACTTAATGAAGATAATCACGTCTTGAACTTGGGAATCTTATGATGAAAAAGTAATAATTTATGAATTTTATTGGTAATTTAACCTAATTTACCTAAGGGGAAATGAATTTATAATTTTTTATTATTTTATTTTGTTATTTTATCATTTTTATTATATATCTCCCCAGGAAATTAAGAAAATTATATTTTATTAAAGGGAATTAACGTAAGGTCACCAGACCCCGGCCTTACAATACCAAATACACCTTCTAATGATAACAATAGAAAAAATTTTCAGAAGTGGTTAGAACAACGTTTATGATTAGATGTTGATTAAATTTAAATTAGATAATCTAAAAGAACATTCTTTTGTCAAACCAAAACAAATATTTTAATTTAGCTTCTAAAGATACGCTGATCATTTCCGATCTTATATATTTTTGTAACAAAATGATTTAATGAATCCAAAACTTGATTTTAAAAATTTTAAAATGAATTAAATAGCTCTATTTTCAGAATTTTTCTAAATTCCATTGAAGCTGTTAAAATCTGATACATTCCAAAAAATTTAAAAATTTAGATTCTTTATGCATGATGAAAATCTTCACGCGCACGTGATTTATTTATTTTTTTTTTTAGAGAACATACATTACAAAAGTTTTCCGTAAGGTCATATGAAAAAAAGCGTATATTTTGAGTAAAGGTTATATTTTTGAGAAACATCATTAGAAAGAATTCAATATTTCAATAGGACAGAACCCGAACAATATATATTTGAATCGTAGCAAAATTGGATCAGTAAATTTTTTCTTCTTCAAACTTGCAAAAAATATTTTATTTCTATTAAATATTTATATATTTATATTAGTAACTATTTATTGGAGAAAATTGCATTTTACATATAAATAGTACTAACTTGCAATTTCATCGACTTTCTGTACAATATATATAGGTATGAAGTTGCACTTTATGATCTAAGTAAAGTTAGTTTTTATAACAGTTGGTGTAATATTTATAAAGTATGTATAAGCACTTTTTAATATGAATTTATTTAAAATAACTTTTTAAACAACAGTAAATTAAAATATATTGGTAATTATTATTGTATTCTTAAAAAATACATTTTACTTTTGATATTATAGCCTGAAAGTTTTATTTCCTATAAAATAAAACATTAATAACATTTTTTCAGTTAATAAAAAAAAATTTTTTTTTAAATTTAACTAACTTGTTTCAATTTGTTTTCAGAAATATGTGTAATCCAAGCCACCCGAAACTGTGCGATTTTTTTTGAATATTTACGTGGAAAAAAAGTAGTTATTGAGGAAATTAAAGCGAAACTCAAAAAATTCGAGATATTTAAGTGAGTTTCCTTGTAAAAAATTATTATTTTGTTTATAAGGAAACTCATGTAAGTATTTAAAGGTTTTGAGTTTCGCTTCAATTTCTTTAATTATTCAGAAAAATCGCTAAGTTTCGCAAAATTTTGAAAATCCGTTTTTTTAGTGGAGTCGTGTATATTTTTAGATAAAGTCATATGATATTGTTAGTACTGCGGATGTGATCTCTCGCTAAACTAACAAACAAACTAGTCCTAGTTTACATTTGGCGCCAGAATCTTTTTTACAATTAAACAAATTATTGAACTTTGCCATATATTCTAGTACTATTATGTTAACTTCCATTCTTAACTGATTTTATTTTGAATGCTTATGTGTAGCGTATAGTTATAGGTCGAATTATTGAGACAACGCATTAGCGAGCTTGAGACCAAGAATGCCAAGCTTGAGACTGAGAAAGCTGAGATTGAGGCTAGGAATGCTGAACTCAAGTCTAGAGTCGGGGAGCTCGAGGTCAGACTCGCAATATTGGAACAGGGTGTTACTGATAGACAGCCACAGAATGATAGCAGAGGTGCGATCATCTATAAATAACCCGGTATCAGTTGTTGATGTATCTGGCTCCATAATAAACCAGCAAAATAATGCCGACATCAAGTTAATGGAAGAGAGATACCAAAGGTATCAGATAAGGAAATAGATGATTTAATTCCCGAAGTACCTGCCAACTTACCTGACTCAGTTATAGATCAGCTCAAGCAGTGTAGGTCTGATGGAAAAACAGATAATGCGATGCCAGAGGTGTTATAGAGCTAAATGTGCCTGCCAGCTCTTCACTTTGCGAAGAGGATAGAAAAACCGATGAATTCTTAAACGCGGCATGTAAGAAGAGGGTTGGCAATGAAGGAAGCGAGAGAAGAAACTTCAAGATACCAGAGGTAACTTCCCAAAGAGAACCGAATTCAGAAACACTTGTAGGATTCTGCTATTCCCTTGAATGGAGAAAATGGGCAGGGTTGTTCTTCTGTAGCAAACGAGCAAGTACATATAGCTAGATCAGAAAACTCCCTATAATCAGAAAGTAGAACAAGGTTTGAGACACGAGTTATCTGCTTACATTGACGGCAAGGGATTCACTTCACAGAGTGGAGATAAAACATTCGATATACAGATTCCCGAATTCTCCTTAGAAGCAATTATAACAGGATCTAGTAAAGTTACATCACAAGACATAGTTGATTTATTTAATGTAGCAATGAAGGTCAGACGAAAGGAGGTCTTATGCTGGTATTGTTACTATATGGTGTATGAGGATCGAATCAGGCTATGACCAATCAGCAAGGACATTGGTGTACAACGAAATCAAAGCCTTTCTTCATGATCTTCACCATTTCAAGGATATTGGCTCAGGAGAATACGCCAACAAAATATGCAATTAAAAAATTTATCGACAATAAGGAGGTGTGTTACCGATAATATTTTTTTTACTACTTACAATATTATTTATGGATAATTTACTCTTAGGTTTATTTAACGAAAATGGTTAATTCTCATGCAAATATAATCCAATTTCATGGAGTTACAAAAATAGAAGGTAACATAACAATTTGCGATACACCTATAACATTTTTTGTTGACGTGTTAATTTTCTTTAGATGAAGAAAGGTATTCACTTGTTCTCGATTATGCGGAAGGTGGAACACTAAGAGATTATTTAAGGAACAATATTATTGAATGGAAGACCCAAATAAGGTTTGCCAGAGATTACAAATGCGATTTTATGGTTGCACGATTATAAGGATATAGTACATGGGGATCTTGTAAGTATAATCATAACGTTTAAACATCTACCTAATAAACTATTCACTATATAACGTGTAACTAACGCCTTCTTTTTTAGCATCCGAATAATATCTTATTACATAGAGACACAATAAAATTTGCAGATTCGGACGTTCATTTTAAAAAGGAAAGGGTGATTATAATACTGATGTACGGGGAGCAAAACCTTATACAGATCCTAAAATGTTCAATAAAACAGTTCTATATAAGCTAAACGTGAAGGGTTCTATTCTGGGATCTAGCGTCGCTTATTGATGATCTTGAAGATAATTATATTATGCTTGGAGAGGCTATACCGAACACGAATAATAAATTCGCCGAACTTTATCAAGGTAAAGTGTAAATTTAATTCAGAACCAGTTTGTACTGATACAATTTTATTTTTCTTGTCGCAATCTAATTTTTGTCTGAATAGAATGTTTGAAACAAAAACCAGATGAACAACCAATATTTCCGAAGTAAATGAAACACTCAATAGCATTGACAATGATGAGTCTACTGTTTCTGATTCTGAAGAAAGTGAAGGTTCCTGTCAGATTGATTTAAATAAGCTTTGTCAAAAAACTTTAGTGTCATTTCGTAGATGATGTGTAGAAAAATGGAATCCGTGGATTCCCAACATTACATAGAAACAGAGAAATTTAAGACGTTCGATGCAGAACACATCAATATTGGTTACCTTTCTCTTTATACAAGTTTGTCTCCAGATTCCACATGGCCAACGGATTCCCTCTTTAGATTATTCAAATACTTTTTAGACTTTTCGTTTATAACTGTTTTCCTTTGTTTTTCTTTTCTTTGGGGGGTGTTAGACAACACGCAAGAAGTATTTTGTAATGATGGGTTACATAATAATCACGTACCACATATCATGGAAATATGTCAAGTGATAATGTGTGATTGTGTGTGTATCAATTGTGTGACCATTTTTTTAGCGCAAACTTAGTGATTATATTAATCTGATTTTATGACATTTTTATTTTATACTTATATTAACTTTTAAAATAATGAAATTAATTAAGTAAAAATAAAAATAATCAAAAAAACTAGAATAAAGAAAACGCTAAGTAATTATATAGTAAAATTGATAATTTTCAGACTATATAAATAATTGTATCCAATTTATTTTTTTTTCTAACAGAAAAGTATTACCCTTTCATTTAAAAAAGTTATTATTTTTCATTAATTTTAACAATTTTATCATCATTTACATAATATAATAACTGCGAAATAAAAAAGAATTTTAATATATTTGAATAATATTTAATATAAATAAAAAAAAACTAATTACATACATAATATCAGGAAACCAACGTCTTTGATTTGGAAATAAATAAATAATTCAATTTTTCTAAGAATCTATAAAAAAATTACAAAAAACAAAGTTAAATTTCAGAATTAATTGTAATTTAAAATTAATTACAATCATTACTAAACAATACTTTTTGTGCTAAATAAGATGCTCGATCATTATCTACTTCAATAGCCATATTCAATAATCCAATAAATAATAACAAATGAAAATACTATCATCAATATTATCATTAATGGATTGTCATTTGGTGACCATGCTGATAAAGAGTTTCTATCTCCTATTATTAAATAGTAATTTATAAATATAATTAATAATAAATTTTTTTAATAAAACATGTGCTAACTCTTTAAATAAAAAAAAAAGGTAATAATAAATTAGTTAATTATTTTGCTTTTTAAATATACCTGTAAGGAATAAATATATAGAAAAAAGTGAATTAGGGTAATTAGAAAATAAATTTGTATTACTATCAGGTTCTTCAATCAAGGTTGTAGTATTAGCAATATTTTCATCTTCTGTTATTTGATGATATTTTTTTGTAAGTGACCAAGGATTATTAGAATCATTTAAATCTTGATTATGTTCAGATTTTGGTTTTAACAATATAAAAAATGCATGTGCAAAACCAAATAAAATGATAAGTATAATAAAAAGAAAGAAACAATTCTTTTAGCAACTCCTATCATAATAGCAAAATAAATTCCAAAAGATTCAAAGGCTCTAAAGAAAAGTAAAAATTTTATATCAAGTAAAAGACATGAAACTGAAATAGCTTCTTTATAGTCTGTGCTTTTTTCAATTCTATAACAGTATATAGAAGTTAAGACAGGTACAAGATATGCACTAAAATCTATATAAATTAATCATTAATAAGTATCAACTATTTTGTTTTTTTTTTTTTAAAAAAAAACATTATTAAAAAAACGTAATTACCAAATAAATTCCATATATCAGATATCCATCTATTTGGACTCCAAATAAATTGACGAACTTCAAATAATAAGTGAATGAATCCAAGAATAATTGATAAAAAGAAAAGCTTTTTTCTATTTTCCTCATTAAAAATATCATAAGGAATTGATGCCAATGTAAAACATGCAAGGTAAATTATAAATAAAATCCAGATTCCTGCACAATAATATACACCAAACATTCTCCATTTAAAATTAATAATGGCTTCACCATTCCAAGTTTTAAAAAGATCATTATTTTGTGTTTTTGTAAAAGGGCTTGATTGAGGTCTGATAAATAATTCTTTAAAAAAATTATAATCTTTTGGATATGTCGTATAACCGGGGAATGGAACTAAATATATACGTTTTTGGTCTTATTTGTTGTTCATTAAAGATGAATTTGATAAAAAACGCACAAATAATAAAGAGTATGACGGATACAGATATTCCAAATACAAATGGGATGTTGAATAAATCAAGTAAAATATTTGATTTTGAAGATGAAAAATATGATAATAAATAAAGAATATAACCGGTATTTAATAATATTAAAGATGCTAATTGAAATTTAAATGATTCAAAATATTTTATGAAGTATTCAAATATAAAAACTAAAATAATCGTAAGAATTTCATCATAACCATGAATGGCAACATATATAATAAAGCCAAGAATGCCGACAATATATATAAAAGGTGTAAAAGATATTACTGGAGTTAGATGTGCTTTATGCGAATATATTCATTACAATCATAATATTTGCTAATTTGGGATTGACAATGAAAGCAATACATATCATGAAAATTAATTGTGTCTGTGATTTCCAATATTTTCTGAAGAATAAAATTATAATAATTCCATGATTACGAAAAGAAAGTGCTATAATGATAGTATATAACAGAAGTACTAATAGTAGATGTGCTGATTTCCAATATTTCCAGAAGGATAGAATAAAAATAGTGATAGCGTCTAGTGTGCAGTATAGTATAATATCAGTATCATGAGTAAAACCTTATAACACAAGAAAATAATACTAGTAGATATATTCGTGATTTCAAAAATTTTAACGGTCTTGAATATGATTTTAATTTATGAAGAATGAATTTATTTTTAGATATTTTTAATTCATTATTATAAGAATATAGATGTTGAAGATTATTATAGATCTTTAATGAATTCTCTGAAAATAAATTCATTTTATTCATTTCTTTCATTACATTATAATATTCTGATAAAAATTCAGAATAATTTTGATTTAAATATGGCATATTCTTACATATCAGTGATAATATATGAATATTATTATTCGGATTTTCTTTGAAATATTCAAGAGTTTTGTTATAGATCGATTTTATTAACTCTCTATTATGTCGTTTTATTGCTGATTTTAAGAGTTTCTCTCCATAATATACACAATACACACAATATACTAAGAATTGAATATTATTATTATTCGGATTTTTTTTGAAATATTCAAGAGTTTTGGTATAGATAAATTTTATTAATTTTTTATTTTGTTGTTTTATTGCTGATTTTAAAAATTTCTCATAATATACTAGGAATTGAATATTATTTTTCGAATTTTCTTTGAAATATTTAAGAGTTTCGGTATAGATCAATTCTATTAACTCCTTATTTTCTGATTTTAAGAGTTTCTCTCCATAATATGCTAGGAATTGAATATTAATATTCGGATTTTCTTTATTTTCTTTGAAACATTTAAGAGTTTCGGTATAGATCAATTCCATTAACTCTTTATTTTGTTGTTTTAAGAATTTCTCATAATATACTAGGAATTGAATATTATTATTCGGATTTTCTTTGAAATATTTAAGAGTTTCGGTATAGATCAATTCTATTAACTCTTTATTTTCTGATTTTAAGAGTTTCTCTTCATAATATGCTAGGAATTGAATATTATTATTCGGATTTTCTTTGAAATATTTAAGAGTTTTGGTATAGATCAATTTTATTAACTCTATATTATGTTGTTTTATCGCCGATTTTAAGAGTTTCTCCCCATAATACACTAGAAAGTATTTTTGATTTGTTGCATAAAGAATCCATTGCTTTTTTAATTCATTATTTGTGGGTTGAGCTATTTCCTTAATTTCATCAATTTCTAAAGCATCTGGTTCATTGTTATTATTATAAAGCTTAATTGCATATTTAAGGAATTTAATATTATAACAAAGTTGCAACTCGATCTTTTTAGATTCTATGTTGAAAGTGTATATATGTAACTCTGTATCATCATATAAAATATGAGTATTATTATCTATTATATATTTCCAATTAGAGTACCTAATCTTATATGAAGGTCTATTTTGAAATGAATTATTAATAAAAGCTTCTAAAATGAATTCACCATTTTTGAATGTTAATCTCATATAATATTCATTTTGATTTTCATTTGAGTTTACTAAATTTGGTATAATGTACTTTTTTATAAGCTCATTTTCATCTGGTGTTGTAGTATATTGGTTTCCTATTTTGTATAAGATGTTTTCATTGTTTGAATCTTTAATATCACTAATTTCTTCCGAATCAATATATTTGTCATTAATTATATAAGTTTCCAAGTCACACTTTTTCATATTAATCACCCATGGTTTTTCGTGAAATATTCCGAAAGCTTTTTGGTCATTAAGTCTAAATAGAATATTATTAAAGTAATTGAGGTTATTATTAATTTCAAGACAAGATTTTATCAAGTTATTGATTGAATTTGATCCCTCAATAATTTTAATTGGAAAATCCATTCTATTTGAATAAATATAATGTATGTCTTCAATACTTATAACCATTACCGATTTAAGAAATTTTAATTCTACCATTTTAGTATTTATTTCTTTTTCTATTTTTTCCTATAAACATAAAAAAAGTTAAAAGAATAAATATTATATTAACTGAAATTAACAATATTTATACTAAAGCGATACAAATATATACATACTTTTATCACTAACTTCCGATATTGGAAATGTTAATAAATCAAATATGGTATTTTTTAATAATGATAACGTCCATAACCTGTCATTGGTTATTCCACCACAACTAATTTCTATTGCATTCATATTGTCGATTTCATATGTATATTTGCATTCCCAGTTATTATCCTTAGTATTCGAAGGATAAATTAAAAGAACCGATCTTATCATTTGATTCTTAGATCCTTTACTTTCAATAATGTAGTAAGTAGCTAAATCTCCACTTGTAAGAAAATTTGTAAACTTGTAATCTGGTAAGTAAAATTCATATTTATCATCAGCATACTTTTTTAAACTTGAATTGAGATGGATTTCCTGTTTATTTTTCATATCATAGATAATTGCTACAGAAAAGGAAAATTTTTTCTTATCAACAAATTAAAACTCTTAAATTACGGCATACATTTTGAAAAATAATAATAATTTACCTAATTCATCATTATCATTACCCACATAATTATAATCTTATCATCAGAGACCTTATAATCCGAAACATCATAATCCGAAACATCTAAATTCAAATTATATGGTTAGACTTCATTGTCAACAATAAACGGTCCCGAATAATCATTATTATCATCATCTTGTCCGTCTTTATTACCAAAAAGAAATCCGATAAGCGGATGATTATTAATACATTTGGCAATAGAATTTTCCTTTCGGGTATTTTTACTATTACACCATCCAACAAAGGATTTATCTTCTTGACTATATGTTACGACATATCTTGACTGTGGAGAAATTGCAATTTTAGTTATCGGCTTTCCATTGTGCGGCGGAACTACTTCGATTGTGATAGTCGTATGTTGACTCATTATACGGTAACTTAATGTATATATTTTTTAGTAGGAGGAACAATACAGAAATGAATTTTTTTTTCTGGGCATTAATTTGAGCAATAAAACTTTATTCGGGGCTTTATTTTGGAACTTTCTATGAGAATAATTGAATATATTCTAGATACATTTACAGTCGCCACTGGATATAACAAACCTGGATATACCGAAAAACTAGTTATATCGAACCAAATAGTGCAGAACCGATTTTCTTATAATTAATTACACTGGATATCCGGCGGTGCTTGTCAAGCACCCCGTTCGTTATTTCCATTATTTTTTCCACCAAAGGTGACATCGCCCTGTAGCGATTTGGGTTATTAGTTGTCAGAGTTACTTTCGATTCTAGTATATAGTTTCTTTGTAATTTTATTGTAACAAAGAAAAAAAACTATATACGTTACCCCACTATGACGCGAATACCCTAGCGGCAAAAATTACCTTCTTGGCCCGTGTAACCATATCAACCATATCATCACCCCCCTGCATAATATTTTATAGCAAGGGGGTCAGTAGGGTGCGATGATTGATTTATGCAGTGTTGATTAGGTGAGGCGGTAATTTTTGCCACTGTGAGTCTGTGGCATGTATGAAATGTGTGCCAGGTTGATGGCGCAGTGTGGCGCAGCGATTTTTTCCAAAAAAAATTAAATTGCAATTTTTTTTTATTTAAAATAAAACCTTTAAATTCCTGCATTAGGTGTATTTTTGTCCGCTCTGCAAATTTACTTAGAGCATATATGGGTGGTTTAGAAGGCCATTTTCGAGTTATTTAACAAAAACTGTTCTTTCGACAAATCCAATTTTGGAAATGATCGGCAAAGACAATAAAATCAGTTGTTATATACTAAAGTCAAAATCTACTTCCAAAACCTCCTTCCATTTATAAGTGAATTTTGTAACACAGATGAAAATACATCTAATATGTAAATTTGAAAGCTTTACATTAAAAAGTAAATCTTTAACTTAAATCTTTTTGAAATTACTGCGCCACACTGTGCTGTCAACCTGGCACACATTTCAGACGTGTGAGTCTGCGAGTCTGTGATGCAATAAGCCACAGGGTAGAGACCCAGAAACCCTAACTCAGCCCGGACCTAGATCCGGGTTTGGGCTGGCAAACTTCTTCAAATTCACCCAGGCTGGGTCTGGGCTGGCACATGATTTTCTGTTAAACCCGAATTTTCATAATTCTGGCTGAAATTAGACTAGCCAAAATTAAGTTGGCCGATTTTTTTGTTTTATGATATAATAATAGTCTGGATTCAGTCTGGGCTAGGTTTTTAATATATTAAGTCTGGGTCAGGCTGGATTGGTTAATTTCCAAATGCATTTCAGGCCAGGTTGTAAATAGGGTCAATGCAAACCTTTACTACAAAGGTATACATGAATTTATTTATCTTTAAATTTGCAAAGAAATAAAATATTTTTATTATATTTGTAATTAATATCACACTACTAGATAGATAAAAAGTGCATATGTTCTTTTTATAGATCCAAACTTTAATTTTTACATTTGATAATTCTACTTCATATGATGTATTTAGTTCTGATGCTAGTTTTACGTTTTATATAACTTGCAATAAAAGAAACAATAAATAACTAAAAATAAAAAACACTATTTTTAATGGTAGTGTTTAATTTTTTTATGAAAAACAAAAAGGAATAAAGCAAATTTTATATGAATGCCAATTATTAACATCAGGTTTAAAAGGTTTTTTGTAAAAATAAGGATTTAATAGATAACATATTTTAGAATACTTTTTTTTAATTTTTTCAACATGTATAAATAGAGAAGCAGCTGATCTTAAAGTTAAGGTTGTATAGATTAGCTCAGCTGTTAGCTCTATGTAGGTGTAATTTTTTTATCAAAATTGAACCACTAGTTACTTTGTTCTTAATTTTATATGTATTTGTTACTTTTATATTAGAAAATTAGAATTATACTTTTTTTTTTTTAGAGATTCCAATAAAAAGTTATAAAATATTTTTGCTTAAAACATTTAAAATAGTGTTTTCTTCTTTTATTATGTATTATTTTCAAGTGTGTAATAATTTTTCATATAGTTTTGAGGTATTTCAAATAGCTGATCCTATTTTTTGAAAAATACAGAAAAGAAACTAACAAAAAAAAATATGTAATAATAAACTTGAGCATTTCGTCATTTCCAAAAAATAGTTTTTATTTTGTAATAGGTTAATTATTGGCAGTAAACATGGGATATCATTACATTTTACTAGTAACACATAGTAATTTACATATGGTTTCAGTTCTGGCAAGACCCGAACATCACATATATAACTCATAACTGATCTGCATGAATTTAAGTACTTTTTGCTCCTGCTAAAATAGACCTAATTTGCTAAAAATCAAATTATCACATTTCAAATCTATACTAATTTGCTAAAACTCAAAATATGAGTTAATAATCTTTTTTTTTGCTTTAAAAGTAAGTTCAGGATGACAAGGGTAAATTTTTAGCATAGAAGATATGACCTTAATTATAATTGTCCGGGGTCCTGGTAGTTGATACAAACTGTCCTGCACGTGACTACGTACAACAATAAAACCTTAAACTTCGTTCAAAGCCAACGCAATTATATTATGTTATAATTATAAATGCTCTACTAACCGGACACAATCTGGCCTTACATCAGTTGATGGTATAAGCCTTCCGGAATCCTAATTTGGGAATACATTTTTTTTTGAAACTCTCTTACCAATGAAATCTTTCCGCAGAAAATATTTATCATAAAGTGCAGATCCGAAGATCCGATATTTTGACTTTTTTTATTGAATACTTGGACACATTTGAAAGTGAGTTATCCTGGTTTAAGACACTATAAACCTTTGTTCACTAAATTTACACTTTTTCTGTATTATTTGTTTTAGTGGCGTCCGGTTTTGGTTATTATGGAAATCGTAGTAGATGTTTTACTTTCTGGCAAGAATTTCGCAAATGTTATGCTATGGCCGATAGACCCGAACAATGCACTTTACAAATGGACGACTATTTTGAATGTCTACATCATACAAAAGAGGTAATCTTTACTCAAAATTTTGTCCAATTTCTCTTGACAATTCAATTTATTATGCTTTTTTTGTTTATTTAGAAAGCACGTGCTAAAGCTATTAAAGATCAAGAATTAAAGTTAAATGAAGAAAAGAAAAAACAAGACGAATTATCTCGTAAATTAACTGATTCCGCTAATAAAAGTAATGTAACAAGATTAGGTATTATAGATAATAGTGTTAAACAAAAAGAAGCTTCGAATTAATCAATGTGTGTATTTTTCTTAATTTATCTCAAAAAATTTATCTACAACAATGTTTACACTGCAAAATACTTTAATATATTAAATAAATTATTCTGAATTTTTTTTTTTCTTTTTTTTTTGCAATTTTAATAATCCTCTCTTTAATTTAATTCAATTATATGGTTCTTCCTCATCTGTTACTGTTACACTCTTTCCTTTGCCCTTATTACCCTTAACTTCATTTTGAGAAATTTCATTTGTATTTGTAAAATTGTTGAAGTTAGCATTACCAATATTGTTTTCGTCATTATTATTGTTATTTATTAATGAGTTCTCTTCTGCCGATGATGAAGTCGCATTTAACTCTGTTATTGGAACACTAGGGAATGCGCTGACAGCCTGTGTAAGCACACTGATAACATTATAGATTTGCGTTTGTGCCTCTTGTAATATTCTTATTTTTTCTTCAAATGCTGCACGGGTGTTTGTCTCTAATAAACGAATTTGTTCTTCCGTTAAAGTTTCCAACGTTGAAGACGACGAATTAGAATTAGAATTATTTGGTAGAACTGGGAAAAGTGGTATTAGTCCGGGTGGTGCTTGCATAGGAAATTGTGATAAGTTAATAGATTGAAAGGACATTGGCTGTGCATTATTAAATGTTCGTGAAGCTGAAGAAGATAATTGATCCCAAGGCATTCTAGGTATAACTGGCTGATTAGGTCTCCGTGTTGAATTATTTTGGCTATGTGCATTAGATGTTGAACTAGACTCTTCGTTTGTCTGTAAATATAGTAAATTATTAGAATCTTTCTTATATAATTGGTTAATTATTAAATTACAAACCTCTGTTGTCGTTCGACCTTCAGTTTCGGTAGATTGTGAATTTTGTGGTACATCCTGTCGTGTATCTTGTGAATTATTTGGTTGTTGTAAAGGTTGTTCAATATTCTGGTTCAAATCATTATCTTGTTCACCCATATTAGGTAGATTTGCTAGGGGTATAGGGGCTACAGGTAATTGCCCATGAAATTGTCCATGCATTGCTGGTTGCCACATTATAGTAGGAAATCCTGGGAATGCGTTAGCAATAAATCCTGGATGATTCGGGAAAGGCATACCTTGTGGTAATTGAGGCTGCTGTGGTTGTCCCTGTAGTCCATTACGAGCAGCTTGTGCTTGAATTGGACGTTGCTGCTGTTGTAGTTGTACTGCAGGTGTTTGTTGTTCCAAAACAGGTCTACGACTACATTTTACAAACGTTTGTGTTATAATAAGAGACTGTTAAAAAGTTCGCAATTTGAAAAAATAAGCGTGTGTAATTTGATAATTTACTTACCAAGTTGGACAGCTCTGTTGTCTTTCTAACCAACTTCTTAAACAATGAAAATGGAAAATATGCCCACAAGGTAATTTTTTTGGTACATCCCCCATGTTATTATTACTTCCTTGACGCCTATCTGCATTGTTATTTCGTTGTGGTTCTGCATCATTATTGTTATTTGCATTATTATTATTGGCGGCGGCGGCGGCTATCATTTCCTCCCGACAAATAATACATGTACGGTCACTTAATCTTTCAAGTTCTTCGTTAGTCGCACTAGGATAACGTTCATTCATATTTCTAGTAGCGCGACGATATCTAACTAAATCGCCACACTTCTGGAGAAATGATCGAAGCGTTACATATAAATCACGTATGATATGTAATGCTATTCCGTAGAATACGAGAATTATAGCGAAAAAGATAAGATAAACTATCAATTTAATAAAATCTGTAAAAGAAAAATAAGACAAACAAAGTAAATATATAATATAAGCTTTTAAGTTAATAAACACAATAAAGCATAAATATTTACCAGTCACCAATTCCAAATAAAAGACATAAATTGATTTATTTTCCCATTGTTCTTCACGTCTCATATCAATTACATTTAATATATACTTAGCAATAGTGGATAATATTGTTGCGGTAAGAATGGAATACTGAACGAATAATAATAATACAACTTAGATGATAAAATATATATATTATTGATAAAAAATTTAATGATAAATAAAAATACGCACTTCAAATGCAAACATGATCATCATATTGGGCTCATTATGCATTGCTATATTAATGGCATATGATGCCAAAATTAGGTCGACTATACCCAATATTTCCATTAACGAAATCATCCGTATGTGAAATGATATTGGTACGGCTGGTGATTGTTCCATCTATTTTGAAACCAGTTTCTTAGTATTAAATTAAAAGAATATAAAAGAACATTCGTAAAGAGTCAGTTTAGTATCTTATTTCTATACTCACAAATTCTACCCGATCTTGACATAGCCAATGAAATATTTTTAGAAACAATAAAATTGTGAATGTTACAACGAAACTAGTATTGAATTCATCTCGGAATATTGTCATAGCTAAGCATGTTTCTGTGAAAGCATACCATGCCCTTTCGTATAAGTGCTTTAAATAAAATAAAAAAATTAATTTTGAAAATTATAACAATTTGATTCGAATTTATAATATCAATTTACCTCTATTTCAACAGCACGTAAACGACCGAAAAATATTGTCTGAAGTATTTTACCTAAAACTATTGTAAGGAAAAAACCCATGTTCATCAAGATCTAGTAACGGCAAGTGTATAATTAAATTTAAAAGTCAAGTGGTAAGTAATTAGAAAAAAATAATGAAAGTCCGAGTTTGAAAAACGGGACTTGTTTCGGTAGAAAATGTGATTGAAAACCAAAGCAGATTTGGATTTAAATCTGCAGATCTGTTAAGTAAAACTAAAAGTATAGGTCTTGACAGCCGAGACAAATTTGCAAAGGGCCAAGACAAAATATGTCCTGACTCCGACTTTAACCTACCATAATGCAAGCGCTTGATTTCGATAAATATATACATGCTGCATAAAAATTAGGTCTTTGACGAAATGCGGCTGCAATGATTGAAAGTGTCAGGAAAGTACTAATTCCACCGTAAACCGCTAAGCGAACCATTTTTAGTATTAATAAAATTCTATTTTATTAATCAAATATAATAAAAGAATGTCTTGAAATAAAAACGAAAACCAAAGCCATTTAAAAACGGGCTTTTTTGAAGAGGTATTTGTAACAAAAATCCACTATTATGACGCCACGTATATGGAAAGAAATTCTGTGTGACAACAGTCAAATTAACCGTCATGGAGAGACTCACGTGAGAAACAAAACAAACGCGTCTTCAGACATTCTTTAACAATAATATTAAACTATGGACAATAATTATAATAATCGTGTATCCAAGTATCGTCCAGTGCCAAAAGACAAGCAAAGGCAAATAGATAATACAGCCATTTCTCAAGCAGTTTACTTGTGGTTAACAAATGAGCTTGGCTACAGATCAGGACGTTCTTCGTCCATAGTTGACGACGCGATTTCCGACAATGAAACAATTAAAGAAGAAATACAAAAGTATGACATTCTGAGTAGGAACAAATATTCACACACTTATTTAAATGCTTTGTTAACATTTAATTTGTTCTATTAGGCTTTGTAAGAATGAATTTATTCCGATTTTCAGGTTCCTTATGGAACGTCTAAAATCTACTAAGTATATATTAAAAAATATAATAGTATTTGTAAATTCGAATAATTATTGAAAATTTTTTATCGCTTTTAATTTATACTAGAGAAGTGGCTCGAATTCGCAATGACCTCCTGTAAGTTTTATTTGACAATATGAGATATTCTTTACATATTATCAAATGTAACTCGTATCATTTCCGCATACGCAGTAATCAACAATTGAACGTAACGTTGCATCATATAAAACGAAGTAAAGCTAGATCCTCATTATCTGCTTCGACTGTTAGGGATGATAATTTCCTTCATAAAGCAAAAATTGACAAAAAATTGATACGGATCAACACAAACACAAAAAACGGAGAACAACAGATCAATGAGTTGATTTCACGTATAGCAGAGATTGGTAACATAATAATTATACTCTATAGACAAATCATTGACTTTTATATTTAGCTATTAAAAATGATTTTAGAGTTCCAGATAAGAAAAGTTCAAGAAGAAATACGTGAAAAAAAGAATAAGATTTATATGAAAAAAACATTTCAAGAAAATTGTAAGTCCTTTGCAACGACTGAAAATGAATATCGGTGCCACTTGGAAGAATATAGAGGAAAATCTGGAATAAAAGATGAAATAAGGTATGTTAATGTACTGGTATTGAAGTTATTAAATTTTGATTAAAAAGAAACATTAAATTATGTAGTACGACACAAAAAGGAAGTGAAACAACAACGACAGTAAGTATGATTTATCAAATATCGAAAATTTGAATATATACTAATTTCATGAGAAACGTAAATTTAATTATTGTTATAAAGATTAAGATCAAAAAAATTTGCGGAAAACTCAAGTTACTCGGGAAAAATGTGCCGAGGTTTGATATTGTTTGTATCTAATACTTCTTTTAAGTCTGACAAATTCCTACTAAAGAATTTGTAGTAAAAGTCTTAGTGGAAATCAAAAAAATCAAATTCGCTTTTTGATTGAGGTTTAAATTTGACACAATTTTTTCATTATTTCATTTTCAAACCGCTTTTTCTAATTTAATTCTTTATTATAGGATTTGCTAAAAACTTCATCTCCAAAATTATTGCTTAAATCTGTATCAGGAGTAATTAAATCTGCATCTAAGGATTTAACGTAATGTAATTTTATTATTGGATTCGAAAATTATACTTACATTAAACGTTTATTTAATGTTAGTCTTCCTCATCATTTTTTTACTTTATATAGTCCATGTGCTGAATTACCAGTTGATAATACTATTAAAGATTCAATAAACAAAGTTCAACGATTGCTGCAGGTGAATGTTGTTATCTGATTTGATTTAGTTATTGTAATAATCGCTAATAAAATTGATGTAAAAGCAACGTAGAGAAAATCATATTGAAAAGTTCATTGGAACCGAGGCGATCCTTAATGATATTCTTAAGCTGAGAGAAAAAATTGAACAGGAAACTGAATCCGTAAAAGCATATATTAAAAAAAAGTATGTGCATATGCCTTCAATGGACGATAGTATGATGTATTTATAAAGATTATTTATTTTTCAATCTTAATACGCAAATGTTTTCGACTCTAATTTTACAATTATTTTTCGGGAGGAGGTAGACAAGTGTTAAATTCCAAGGCTTCCTTAGAAGCTAGCCAAGCCGCATTTAACAGGATAATGAAGTTTGCCAACTTTCTTGAAAATCAACAACAAAATTTGGTAGCATATGGTAATGAGTTACCAACACTGTTAAACCGAGTTCTTAATTATAATAATGTTATTGTAAGTCATTATTATTACATTTATCTATTCTATTTCTCTTATAATAATTTAAAATGTTTAATAGGAAGAAAAACAAAAAAATATTCAACGCCTGATACAAATCAATCAATTAACAAGAATGAACTTTATTAAACAATCTAAAGAGGTACTTATTTTTATAATAATCCAGGGTATAATTTTTGAAAAAACTGATATTTTTCAAATTCATACTTAGATTTCAAGTTTTGTAGAAGAGAAAATCTTCCCATTCGCTAGTAGTATTGAAACTTTAAGTAAAAATCTTGATAGTATAATGATTAAGGAGAATGAAAAGCTCAAAATTTTAAATTTGAGATTAGCAAAACAAGTCAAGCTACAAAGGTGAAATTTATATTTGTCATAATTTGGTGAATTGGTAGAAAAACCGCTTAATGACTATTTTTCTAGTGATTTCCGTGCTATTAGCACACTTGATATTAATCGTACTCTTGATGACAAATTTGTAAGAGATATAAAGGATTTAATCCATTGTCCAAAATATGAGGTATGTTTATAATAATCTTGGATCACAACTTAATATTTAAGTAATTAATTATTTATTTTTACAAGAGTGCCGATAGGATCTTTATGGTCTTATCTGACTTGAAGCGCGAAGGTACTCTTAATTTATTTCACCTTGTTTATTAAAGTCTCGTAGTTATAATTATAACTATTGATTATCCTATATCTAGAAGTGGTTTTTGAAATAGCACGTTCATACCTTAACAAAAACATGAAACCTTGTCATAATGAACTCCAAATTCTCGGTGAATATATTATATCTAACAATGCTGATTATATCCTTTTTTTAAAGATTCATTGTTGATTAATCATTAATTGCTTCTGTAGCGATTCGTTGGTTGACCGCAATTGGCGTCGTTGTAGCGAATTTCGATAAAAATGTCTCATTCATGCAAACTACAGATAGTATGCAGCAGGCAGCTGAGGCCTTGAAGGGTAAAGAATCAAAACACTCATTTGTTCGAATGTTTGCGAATACAAATTAAAATAATATTTATATAGATTTGATAGAAAAACAAGAACAAACTTTCTTGAGTAAAGAAATTTTGCGTCTTAAACGGGAGATTGGCAATATTGATACGGCGGAAAATGTCTTTCAAGAAATACAGGATATACTTGAAGAACGGTACGATTTTTATGGTAGAAGTAAATCTTTATGTTTCTTGTTAACATGTTCATTATATTTTAAATTGAATAGTGAAAAAATATTAAATGGTCAAATCGGAAATATGATTATTATCCAAGGTCGAAGGTACCTTATGTCTTAGGGGCAAAGTGAGGTAGTTAATTGAATTTGACTTAGAGAAATTATGTATAATTTTACAGATCTGGTAATTTACAGTAAAATCTATTGGCATATTACCAAATAATTTTTCAGTTCCACAATCAATATATGTAAATTTGGGGCAAATTTTATAATATCTGAAATCTGCAGGTGCTATGATGCTATGATGAAATTTTTAAATTGTAAATTGGTTTTTTTTGGACTTATAGAAAAGTGTCTTTTATTTTCCAAGATACCTAATTGTATATGTACTCATTTATGGAGTATATTTACTTATCTATACCAGCAGATTTGGACCTCTTAAGGGATATCTAATAAACTATACTTTCATGATCACTAGATGCTGAATTATAAGATTTTTGAATATGAAATATGCCTATTATAATCGCTATAAATCTTAAAACATTTACATGTTATTATGGAGTTAAGGGGTGTTAAAACTTGCAGAAAATATGAAACCCTGTAGAAATAAAAATAATTGTTAATTAAAATCTTGGGGCCAAATCACATGAATCACGTGCCCCAGCTTTTTTTGATGGTGGGATTAAATCGACACGTGATATTTGACTTATTCAAGTCCTTTATTGAATCATGTCAGTATATGAATTTTTCTAAAACACAATAAGTAAATCAAACTCTTCCATAAAAGACGCATTCATTTAGCTTTAAATTTTGTCTTATAACTTCGGAAGTCAGCGCATTTTTAACTTCTTCAGGCGGATTTAAACCAAGGTTTTGAGCTCTCTCCCAACGTTCTAACCTTGTTAATCCAACACAAGAACCAAATTTATAATTAAGATCAAACGCGTGAAGAAGACTTTCCATTGGGTTATAAACATCATTATGAAACGCTAAAGAAAAAGAAATAGAATAATTAAAAGTCTGTTATATATAAGCTACTCGATTAATTATAATAAATTAATAATTATGATAAAGCTTACTGAGCTTTGACCGAATTTCTATATCTCTCAATGATTCTTCTGGATCACTTTCCAAATCAATAAAATCAATAGAAGCCTCACGAGGAACATCGTCTTCGTTTATTAAATCGTCTCGATCAAATGCTTCATTTTCAGATTCGTCTAATTCTGATATGCTCTGACGGTCTAAAACATGGTTTTTTTGTTCAACAAAAATTGAAGTCGCGGGGATTTCTTCATTAACAACGACAGTAGGTCCTTCTCTCTTACTTTTTTCAATATTTTGATTCTTTTTTGGTTTATCTTTATCTTTTTCAGCCTTATCTCTTTTAGTAGAAGTGAATATTCCAGATAATTTTTTTTGAACCAATTTTTCAGAAGTTTTGAGTTTTGGCATTTTAAAGGAAAAGAAGTTATTAGGTATTTAAAATGTTTAGAGTTCGCGTATTTATCATATATTACACTAGTCACGGGTTGTTAGGGTGTACGTAATATAACCCAACAGCACCCAGAAAAATTCTTCGATCACGTGATCTGTTTTTATTTATCACATCGTCACACCCTGTCCGAAGTTTCACAGTTTATATTTATCTGAGGGACTTAGATTTTTTCAAGTAGATGAAATTCTATTTGTCACGTTTTATTCATCACATCCTAAATTCTTCGATCACGTGTCAGTGCATAACGCCGGCCGAGTTCGAAGAATTTTCTGGGTGCCGTTGGGGTAGTTGGTATACGTACATCCTACCAGAGTTTAGGAGTTATGCACTTGCACGTGATAGCATTAACGTTAACTCTGGCCAGTTCGTTCACCCCACTGTACATTAAGGAACCCCACGTTAAAGAACCCCTATTCACCTAGAGTGTTATATTTAATAGTACACAGGCGATCGCGATAAATCGGATTGGTTTGTTCCAGAGAAAATATCCGGTATATCAAAATATAACAGAAAAATAAAGCTATTCTCAAACTTTGATTAAATATTATATTAAAACTAGCCAGTATATTTTTTTAGAGTGTTTCAGTGGTCTGTACTACATAACGGGATTAATCTTGATATGTGAGTTTTAGTTACATAGAGTATTTCACGTTGTTTAGTAAAGTATAAACCATGGGAAAAATTTTTTCTTTTTCTTTTTAAAAATTAATTATATAGTAATCTGTACAAAAGAACATAAGATAATAAAATGTATTTTTTAAATGTTGATAATATTATGGTATAAGATTTTTGGTGTATTTTTTGTGTATGTATTTTTATGAAAAGACATGTGGGTTGTTTGATATTATCTTGTTCTAATCTTTGATATTCTAGAACAACATTCGGGTCAGTCATGAAGGCTGATCTGACAAGGTGGGATATATTGATATTATCCCAAGTAGAACACCTACTGAGGGTGACATAAACTTGGCCTGGGGAGAAGATGTTTCCATCTAGAGTGAAGGAGACTTTTAGCAAGATTATTACTTGTATTTTGTAAACGGTTAGAGCAAAACAGTTTTGGATCAGAAATTGAATTGCAGTAACATATTCCATGTTTTCCAATTATTTATAAATCATTTAGCGTGGATTAACATGTGATCTATTGATGCTAGAGACATGATCTTACCACCATTCGACGCGTCTCATCAAGACAAATCCAATGATATATAGCTCGACTTTGTACGATCACTAGATGGACAGCTATTCAATTTTTCGCATTTTTATAAAAAATTAGATTAAACCGAACTGAACTGAATTTTGAGCCAGTTTTGGATCAGTTCACCAGTTTAGCCTGAACTGTTTAGAGCTTTAGTTTGCATCCAACTTTTATTATTCCAATAGTAATAAACAGGTAATGTTTCTTTTTTTATTTCTTTTAATGCCCAAGAGTTTTGATGTTTATGTATAAAAACTGGTATTAACTTATCGCCTAATGCATTGCATGATAATAAAACAGTAACTCGAGATTTTGATTTTTTAGTGCCTGCCATTGGTCCATGAGCAAGTGTTTTTGATGATTCTAAATTCCAAAAAAAAGCTGTTTTGTCTGCATTATACACATCTGCAAGAGGATATTCTTAAATAACATTTTTTAAATTCTCTCAAAAACTTGGTAATTCTTCAAGTGGTGCACTTGCTACTTCATCTTGTTTAGTAATTTGATAAATGTGATGTTACTTTTTAAAATTAGATAACCATCCATCAGATCCATTAAAATTGTCAATATTTAAAATATTAGCTATTGCATGACTTTTAGTTTTTAAAATTTCACCTATAACTATTAAGTTATGTTTAATTGCTTTATTAAACCATAATGCTAAAGTTTCTTCTAGTTGAGGGAAAAGAGCTTGTCTATTTCTTTTTTGTTGACTTGCAATAGATTTTCATCAATATTTAAAAAGTAATCCTTTTTAGTAAGAATTTCTGTAATAGTATTATGACCAATATCATATTTATTAGCAATATCTTGATGTTTTAAGCTAGGGTTATTTTTTGCTAAAATACAAACTTCCTTTTTTTGAGCTTTAGTTAAAGTAATTCTTCTTTTTTTATTTGAACTATCATTAGGAAGTTTTGTTCGTTTTATATTATTTGTACCTGTAGTCTTCATGTTTGTATGACTGCAGACTCAAAAAAAAACTAAGAGATAAATTGATGTGTAATGGATATTAATAAATTATATAATGACTGTCATTATATTTATGATGTCATTATATCAAGCTAGATTGTGGCTTTGTAAAATTAGTTTATCAGAATTTTGTGTCATAGTCGTTATATATTAATATTTATAATAATGTCATTATAACAAGCCAATTTAAAAATTTGTTTTTAATAATTTTGTCATTATAACTAGGGATGCCAAAAGTTCAGTTATAACCAATTATAACCAGTTTTTATCAGTTCAGTTACAGTTCGGTTTCAGTCCAAGACCGACTGTTTAACCATCAGTTTTATATATAAAAAAACTAACAAAAAAACTGATCAGTTAATCATATATTTCAAAAGAAAAGAATGTTTCTTTCATTAATTATATTGAGAATACTATTAAAAATTATGATTTTGGTGTTTATTTATATATATAGTATTCTTATTTTTGAAATAATAAGAAAATTTTTTACACGTTGATCACGTGATTTTTCGTTCTACTGAAAAAAATTGCAAAATTGACATTATTATCGTAAAAAAAATTATAATTTTAAGGAATATTATCAAATAAAATTATAATTAACACTTTCTAACATTAGTTCATTCAATTTTGCAGTAATTTTGTAATCAGTTTGCAATTCAGTTTTATTGGTCAGTTTTGCGGTCAGTTCAGTTTCAGCTGAAAATTGCGGTTTTAAAACTAAAACTGAACCAAACTGACTGTTGGCATCCCTAATTATAACCATATGTCAGTTTATCAAAATGTCATTATAATAAGCGGCATTTGTAATTATTTTAATTGTGAATAATTACAATTTATTAATTATTTTTATGCTGTATTCAGATAAATTTTATTTTAATTTAAAACTTTTTTTTCTAATATTGAGATATATTAGTTCGCGTCTTTAGTTGTGTCATTTTTTAGCTAATTATCACTAGTAAAAAAATGGTCTATCCTACACATATCCTACACATATCTTACATATATTGGGTACTCAAAATGTAGAAAATCATACACAAATAATACACATATTATACACATATCGGGTACTTATATATATAGTATACCTATCAAGTACCTGATATATGTATGATATATATATTAGTACCCGATATGTGTATGATATGTGTATTATTTGTGTATGATTTTCTACATTTTGAGTACCCAATATGTGTAAGATATGTGTAGGATAAATCATTTTTTTACCAGTGTATCCTCAACATTTAGATAATTGCAAATCATATGATAAGCTTCAGACTATGTAACAGTTTACCATTTTCCTAGTAAATATTTACTATTAGCTTTGCTAAAAATATCGTTAAAAATTTGTCTTGACCTGTGTCAAGACTTGCAGACTTCACTAATAAAAAGTGCAAGGAGAAAAATTGAGGACACTTTCGTCTTACTTTAGCTTAAATTAGGTGACGACAATAAGCTTTTCAAGTATTATGTAACAGAGATCTGTTTATTGTGCTATGACTCATATTCAGACTTTAGGGTATTTTTGAAAAGAACGTTCTAAAAAACTAAGGTGAGTATTATATATATATATATATATATATATGTTGAGAGTATATATATACTTGTAAAAAGTAAAAAATTACGACTTGTGATTTGTAAGTAAAAAATGATTGTATCTCATGTGATTCTGCAATTGACTCTATTGATATTATCGATGTACAGTATCAGTGTCATAGTTTTATTTATATTAGCTGTTATGTATTAATATATAAATTTAAATATACAGAGAACGATCAATGATATGCGGACATTTTTCAAAGTGAAAAAAATTATATATATATTAATAAAGTGAAAGTAAAAATTTAAGTACAGTACATTTATTGCATCTTTAATCATTAATTAAAATAAAAATTTATCTTTGAATTCTATTTTCATTTGCCACAATAATAGCTTTAATTCTATGAAATAAGCAATTGATCTACATCTTATAATATTCCAGAGGAATATCTTTTACGTATTTTTAATATACTTTTCAAATACTTTTGTTAAGAAATTTAGTAAGGCATGTGAATATAATATAAATAATTTAATATTATATAAAATTAGGGGCTCAATGTAAAGTTAGCAATCATAAGTTACATAGGTTTACAAAGATTGCGAAACTCTTAATTTTTTTAAAAAGTTAAGTCATATATTACGAATATTTCAATATCCAGTAATTGGATTTTTGTGGTCTTAGATTCAATAGATTCATCTCACTAAAACAATTCTAATGATGGTAATTTTGTGCTTGTAGGATGGATATTTGATATGTAATTTATGCTTTAAATATCTAGAATTATCTTATGATACTTTATAATCCAGTGATTGGAATTTCATAATTATTAGTTCATTGGATTCGTCTCATTGAGACGATCTGAATGGTAGTAAATACATAATTATTGGAATTATATTGACCATGTTATGCCATTTTTATGTTTTATGGACTGCATAACAAAAATTAATAAATTTATGCAGTGGGTGATTCCATATTTCTAAAAAATTCCAAAAAATATGAAGCATGGAAATTTGATTATTATGTTTATAAGAACAAAATTATAAATTATTTGTATCACATTATGGGCCGGTGTAAAAAGATTGATACCTCACCCGAAAAGGAAAGGATTTTACACCAAGAAAAATACCGTATGACTAAAACAAAATGGGCTGAAAAAAATATATATATTACAATGACTTCGAATAAACATTTTTACTTACATTTTTTTACCCTACTATGGATAGTTTCTCTACAAAATGAAGCAATGCATCACTAACTGATAACGAAAAGTTGATAATAATTAATGTTTACAATTATTTTTTGGGGCTAACTTTAAAAAGGAGGATCATCATCAGGTCACATTACGCAAGTGTGTTGCTGAGGTGTTTGGGCATAGGGGAAAGTACAGTTGGGAGGGTGGTTTCAAACTGGAAAAGCTATAGAGATGATACTTTTACACTACACAAAATGCTTAAATATCCTAAATTACAATTGGATGGTTAAATTCTCATAATATTGCTTTTTTTGATGAATTAAGAAAATCAGAACTTTTGAAGCTGGTTCAAATAAACAAAGAAAAGGTTCCATTTTTTTGTGTTAACATTGCAGAACAATATGAATATAAAGTTAAATTTACCCCTCCATACCATAATTGTGAACTCCAACCTATTAAAGGTGTTTAATCAGTTGTAAAGGGTAAAGTTGCATGCTCAAGTCTACACCCAAACCTTTTATTTATTAGAAATTCACTTTTAAATGTATTTAAAAAAAAATTTTCTTCAAAGATTATTGTAGGACTTAGGGAAAGAGCTTTTAAAAATGTTAAGAAATATTTTGAATCTGATAAAAATATACAATTAATTGATGAAGAATTTGACGCTCATAGTAGTTCTGATGAGAATCACATGACATGACATAATATTTATATTGTATTTTTCCCAATACATACTGATAATATTAAATAAATAAAAAAAAATATTTATATAATAAAATTTTTTTTTATTGATGCAATGTTTGAGGTACCAATCTTTTTGCACCGGCCCATAGCATGTAATGATCCGTATAATTTTGGTAAAAATAAGTGTCCGCATAACATTGATCGCCCTCTGTATTTAAGAATTCTCATAGTTATATATTAAAGTGGCTTTATGATTAAAATAGTATAATTTTAAATACACTTGAAATAATTTGTTGTTAAAGATCGGCAAATTAATGAAATTTTTTTATATACAGTCGGACCTCTATGTACCGATACTGTTGTTTTGGGAAAAATATATCGGTATATCAAATTATCGTTACATAACCGTCATCAGTGAATCATAATGCGGGCTAAAATCCAATTCTTGCCAGCATTATGTAAACTCCGGATAGCTAATACAGTATATTAAAATGTCATGTGATTTGGATGGAACCTTTATGTTAACTCTGGCCAAATTCATAGTGTTGACCCGAATTAATACCAGTGTAACCTAAAGTATCGGTACATCTTACTATGTATTAATTATAAAGGGGCAAAGAAAAGTATCGGTACATGTTACATTGTGAAACCATATATAATATCGGTATAACGAGATTTTTTTATTAATTGTGAAACGGGACATAGAAAATTTATCGGTACAGGCAATTATCGGTACATAGGATATCGGTACATAGAGGTCTGACTGTATACAGTCAACCCCCTATATAGTCACCCCCGTATAATCACAACATATAAAATTCCCCTTTATAAGCACACCATATTTTGGCCAATGTACTAATAAATATATTAGAAAAACCTTCTCTATAGTCACAACATATGACTTTTTTTATAATCACACCCTTTTTTTTCAGTCCCAAGGGGTGTGACTATAAAGGGGGCTGACTGTATTTTGATTTAGAATTATTTAAACACTAAGAATAGATTAGTTTGTAATTTGAATAATTTTATATTTAATATTATATTACGGTAATTATCTTGGCCAAAATTAAGCATAGTTCTGGCCAAAATCGAACATTATTCAGGTTAAAAGCCACCCGATTAGTTTCAGTGGAACTGACATAATTCCAAGTTTGTGCATAAAACCGACTAACTATAAAGGAATGCAATTTACGCATCTTGCACAAAAACATGTCTCATTGATTGTGTTTTGACTATACAAAATATGATACTGTACAAAATTACAAAATTTTTATTAAATATAAACAAATCAAAAAATTTTTTGCTCAACCTTATATTTTATACTTGCTTGTATTCTCTCAATATCTTTGGTATAGATATAGAATTTATAATTTTTTTTTTAGTAATAATATAAAAAATATAACATGCATGAATGTGTAAGAAAATATTCTTACCACAGGAACACTTGTACATGGAATCATGCCAACTTCAGTGATTACAGTTGTAATATACTTTGATGGCGTTAAATCATGTAACAAGTTCAAAAGTTTTAAATCTGGTTTATGAAGCCATCCATCCAACAATCCAGCTTTTGGAGTTGAAGTTGTAGAAATATTCACCATTTCGTCAGGATTTCCTAAAAGATTACAAATTAAAATCAGACAATAACATTAGTAAAGATTTCAAGGATATTGCTAAAACTTTACTCTTTTCACCTTGCCTTGTTCATTCATAACAAATGAATCCAATTGAACCTTCTCTGCAAACTTGTATGTCTCGCAACATACAATAACAGGAATATTTTTTTCCTTGGCCATCATTGCCACCATTGCAGTACCAACTCTTGAATAAAGTGCGCCATTTGACATAAAGGCATGTGCTCCCAGAAAAACTTTTGAAACATCCTTTAATACGAACCCAACTGCATGAAGAAAGGCATACGTACAACTTATTCCGGCATCCACAAGACATCTCAAAAGTCCTTTTCCTTGAAATTTATTGGAAGAAAAATCTTAATAATATTTGAAAAAAAAGCAAATAGTAATGAAAATGTTAATTACCTTCAAGTCTCGGCCTTGAATCCACAATGATAACTTTAAATTGTATTCCTTTTGCGTGAGCCTCCAATAACAATGCCTGTACAACCGACGACCTTTATTTTTAACAAGGTTTAGAACAGGTAATACAAAAATGAATTAAAAAATTTCTTACATAGAGATCAATTGTACCTAGCATATGTCAATATTACATCGCCATCCTGTATTTTCTGTAATCCATAGCTAACTATAACGCGATCTGCAACTGTAATACGATCGCGAATAAAGTTATCGATTTTCTCACATAACAAAAGTTTTGCCTATTAAAAAAAATAATGTTAGCTTAATAATGAATAATTTCAGTTAATTAGCATAAATTAGAATAACGACATTAACGGCGTACATCATCATCGGCTAGATCAATATCCATTGTAGATATCTCCAATTTTAAGTGACGAATTGCATTACCCATACCGACCGACATAGGTCTTGAATTCACCAAATAACTTATCTGGGGAGATAAATGGGTAGGCAAATGACGAGACAGAGTTGTCCCTTCTGGTGTTTTGTAATCTTGGATTACCTATTAAATTATTTATTTAATGACATGATATTTAATAAAAATATCCGCGCAAATTATTAACCTTTTTGAAAGCTGTTAAAGTAGCAATACAACGAGCATTAGCTCCACAAATTTTAAAATCGGCAAATTGTAACCCTATAACTAAAACCGCGGGATGAATATCTCTGGACGCTAAACTTGCATTAGCACCTTTCGCGATTTCTAAATGAGAAAACAATGCTGCAACTTGTTTATTGCTGCTTTCATTCATTTCTTTTGATTGCTTTTCTTTATGCTTTGCCTTGGTTCGTTCTTTTATAGATTTTTTATTTCCTTCGTTTTCCATTATGAAAATTATGAAAATTATACAAATAAGATTTTTTTTTTTTTGCGTGTATTATTGACTATTAATGATAAATTTATCATGTGATTATCTAACCGCAGTAGATCCGAGTGATTCGTGATTTTTTTTTTTTGATTTTGCTGATGTATTTTTTTGTTTTTTTGATTTTTAAGATTCTAGTTTATGAACTAAAAATAAAATGGGTATAAATCGTCTTCTTCAAAAGTTAAAATCTATACAAACTAAAATTTCAATATCAAAATATGCAGGAAGTACAGTAGGGGTGGACGCGTATTGTTGGCTACACAAAGGAATTCATGGTGAAATAACTTGGAATAAACCGTAAATTAGTTATATTGTATTTTTATTTTTTTGATATTTTTTCTTATAATTAAGCTATTTCATAATAATGCATTTGATTAAAAAGATACGTAGAGTATTGCATTAAAAGAGTGAGAATGTTGAAGAAGTTCAATGTCCGGCCACTCATAGTTTTTGATGGGGGATATCTACCGGCCAAATATCGTATCGAACTAATACGTGAACAGTTTGTATTTTTTGGGAGGGGAAAAGGTTATTAATAACGAGTGTATGGTAAATTGATTTTTTGAATTAGAAAACGACAAGAATACAGCAAAATTGGACGTGAACTTTTTAAAAAAGGTCGAGTTCGCGAATCTTTTCCTTTTTTAAAGAGAAGTGTCGATGTTACACCAGATATGGCTCACAAATTCATCGAGGTATTTCGGCAACTCATTGATCATCTTTAATGGCTTAATTTTCACAGTTTATTCTTTTAGGCATTACGCGCTGAAAATGTAGAATATGTTGTTGCACCTTATGAAGCTGATGCACAATTGGCTTATCTTGAGAAGAAGAAACACATTGCAGCTATAATAACGGAAGATTCAGATTTACTAGTTTTTGGATGTAAAACTGTAAAAGAATTATATTTTATTTATATTCAATCTTTTTTAATTATACTCTTTAAAAAAAACATCTCATTTTGATTTCTAGGTAATATATAAATTAGAACTCAATGGAAATGGAATAGAAATATGTCGGGATAAATTTGGAGACGTAGAAGAGATTAATATGCTTGGTTGGACAGACAAAAAATTTCGGCACATGTCTATGCTAGCGGGTTGTGACTATTTGCCTTCAATACCCGGTATTGGTATCAAGTCTGCGCATAAGTATTTAAGAAAATATGAAACCGTAGACAAGGTAAGTTAAAAGAACGATATTTTTTATTTAAAACATTAAATAATAATTGTATAATAGGTAATACAATATTTGAAGGGGAATAATAAAGTAAAAGTACCACCAAATTACGAGAATGATTTTAAAAAAGCAGAGCTAGTATTTTTGTATCAGCGCGTGTTTGATATTGAAACTGAACGTTTAGTCACTTTGAATCCGGTTTCTGAAGATTTGGATATTTCACTTGATACGGATTATATTGGATCGTATCCTATAACTTATGCTTTGCTTACCGCTTTGGTCATATTATGTTGTAAAGATGTCTTAACTCGAATAATAGTAACATGGATAAAAATATCGCCTTAGGTATTGCGATTGGTGACATCAATCCAATAACCATGAAACCAATAATACAAGCGAAAGAAAACGTAGTTGAAGCAAGAAACTTATTACCACCATATAGTGAAATAGATTTTTTGAATGTAAATGACCCGTTTACGTGTAATCCGTTTGATTTAGTCAAAACTACAACGAGTCAAGAGAATACTCTTTTAATCGTAAGTTCACACAAAAAGGTAATTAACTAGTTACCTTTGAGTAAATTATTAAGATAATTTCCTTAATTAAAGGATTCTTTGGAGAAAAATGGGCAAGGTTCAATATCACCGGCAAACAAAAACCAGAAAATATTTACCAACTTAACCGGTAATGATCGATCCATTTAATTCGATAAGTTATTATCAACGACTATCTAATGATGAAAAATTTTTTGTAGAATTTATTGAACCTATAAAAATGTACAGAGGAAATTTTTCAACAATTAATTCGGATGGGATGAAACAAACGAACTATCACAGTAATGCTGAATTAACGGGTATGTTTAGATTGTCCTATTTCGAATTAGGAAGTTAATTGATTACTCTTTTAATATTTTTTAAAGAATGCGAGCGACTTGTGGCCGAAGGATGGGCATATAAATATTCGAGAAAACGTAAATGGGATAATAAATAGCTAAAATTTTAATTCTGATACAAAATATATTAGCTTCTTGAATTTGAATTAATATCTATTGCTACATTAACAATTATACACTTTGTGAACCTTAAAAAACAACAACGAATAAATTTGAACAATTTCATTATATCCTATTATCAAGTAGATTTTTATCTAAAGTAGGTATCTAATAACAGTAATTCTCCAAATTTTTAATTTTTTTTCGATATTTAATTAATTTATAGGGAAAGTTTTCTATTGCTTTAACACAACTAGTTAAGATAAAATAAATGAAAAAAAGATAAAAGATGAATATGCTTGTATTACTATCATATTATCTTATAGATTAGATAATCTACTAAGCCACCGAAAGTACATTATAAAACTAAAAAAAAAAAAATTCCTTTCATATTATTGCTAAAAACCTTCTTGGGAAAGTTTTCGGAATTAAATCCAAATTAAATGAAAACAACAATTTCTTTTGAAGTGTTTTTCTTCGCAGATTTTGAGCTCCTAAATGGTTTTTAGGCATATAATAATTTTATGGCGGAATCATAGTGCATAAGAAAGATTAACAAAAACTTTCTTGTGTCTCCATTAACCATTACATATTATTAATGATATAAATATATATATATATTTTTATTTTTGCAGACAAATAAAAAGGAGATTATAAAAAAAATTATTGTCTTTTTCTGTAAAAAATATCAAAATAATAATTAGTGATAATAATTAGTGATACGTTAAAGAAGAAAATTAATTTTATAATTGTAATTTAAAGATACGCCCAATGGCTTATTTTCAGCCAATCATCGCTTCAATGAGTAAATTCTATATAGGGTATATATTACTGATTTTCGTGCAAGTTGTACATCAATATATCTACAGTATCTATTCTTGATCAATGTCTTAATCTATCTTATTTCCTTTTATTTTCACTTTCAATAAATTAATAATTTTAAACTTGTCAAAATGGTTAGTTAAAACCCTTTTATATTGTCGTTTATCTAATTTATTTAAAGTTTTTCTAATATATTGTGTAGGCACACCAAAACTCTCAAGGAATTCAAACATTACTGGATGCTGAAAAAGAAGCTGCAAAAATTGTTCAAAAAGCTAGACAATGTAAAGTTATTTATTTAAAATTATTTTATTCTTATAAAATCAAGTTTATCAATCGATTTTTTTTTAATAATAGATCGTGTTCAACGTTTGAAGGATGCTAGAACTGAAGCAGCAAAAGAAATAGAGGCATTAAAAGCTGAAAAAAATGCTGAATTCCAAAATTTCGAAAGTGAGGTAATTATAAATACCTTAGATTAAAGCAAATATTTTTTTAAACTAATAAAATCATTTATTTACTTTTTAGCATGCTGGGTTTTCAGATCAATCTTCTACTCAATTAAATGCAGAAACTGATGCAAAATTAGCTGCAATACAAACAGCTTTTGATAAGAATAAAAATGCTGTTATAGAAAAATTATTAACTGCTGTTACTACCGCTGAACCTAAAATGCATATTAATGTTAAAGTTCCAGAGTAATTTAAAGAAAAAGAATTTATGTAATTTATTGCGAAATTAGTATATAATTTATTACATAGTATTTTTTTTTTTAATATTATTTAATATTTTCTGCTCACTTCACATAAAATGTCAAAAAAAAAGAACTATATAATAATGCATATAAAATAATAAATACTATATTACTGTATTTATCTATAAAATACTAAATGTTTATTTAATAAAACAAAAATGAATATTAGATCTCAATCACATATCATATATATGAACAATTCTTCATACTCTCTGAATCTTTATATTGCAGTATGAAATAAATAACTAATACTTTCACCGTTATGAGTCCTTCTAATTGCTTCGGCTAAAGTAGCAGAAATATCGATCACTACGATTTTTGAACTTTGACTTCGTTTCTCGGATGAAAGGGGAAAAGTATTTGTAATCACCAACTATATTATTTGTCAAGTTGATATAGGAAAAAATTTATATACGAGAAAGAAAATATTCGTCATTATGTATATGTCATCTTACCTGATATATGCTTTTACAACGTTCTATCTCATTGATACTATCATTACTTAGAATTCCATGAGTAGCAATTACATAAACACGTTTTGCGTGGCATTTTTTCATCAAATGTTCTGCGGCTGTTATAAATGAGTCTGCTTTATCAATCATGTCATCCTATACGTTAATTATATCAAATTTTATTGAGAATAAAATTTATAAATGAAAGTTTGAATTGCAAACTGCTTTAATATTATCGTTAAAAAAAATAACTTACGACAATAAAGGCAACTTTCCCGGCAACGTCTCCTACAAGTGTTATAACGCTAACAGTTTCGTCATCCATCGAAGGAGCTTCTCCCGTTATTGAAGCTGCAGAACTAAATTCATCATCGTCACCATTATCAGAAGATCTTCTTTCCGTGGTATTATGATCAGTTGTTGTATTTGACGTAAGATAAAAAAGATTATTACTATTCAAATTATTGTTAGAAGAGCCCGATGCGTCATTTTCTGGGGTTCCCGGAATTGTAGGAGAACAACGCGCTTGGTTGGATCCTCGTGTACGATCAGAATGAATAAGTGCAAAATCAATCTTAAGACGATCGGCAAGAGACGTTACCCTATTATTTAATAAGGTAAACCATTGAGTGTTTCAATGATGTAACATCTAAAAACATCAACTTACCTTTTTGCGCCACCAGCATTTTTACTAACAACCACACTATTAGCGTATTCTGGAACGGAATCTTGAATCCACTTAGCGATACTTGGTTCGGCATATAAATTATCAACTGGTTTATTGAAAAAGCCTTGCATTTGCGACGCATGAAGATCCATCGTGATGATGTGATCAACACCTGCGACCGAAAGTAAATTGGCTACCACTGATTAAGGAAGAGAGCTTATTAATTATTATTAATAATAATTATTTAGCAGAAATATATATTTCTATTCCTACTTTTTGCAGTTATGGCTCCACGGTGTTTCTTCTTTTTGCTCTGTTTTGAATATGGGAAGTAAGGCATAACAGCTAAAACGCATACATTGATCAGTCAAATATCATTAATTTAATAGCTAGTTAACTGAAAGGAATTACCAGTGATTCGACTTGCGGATGAACCTTTACAAGCCGAAATCATTATCAACAATTCCATGAGATGATCGTTGACGTGAGTTGACCCAGATTGAATAATAAATACGTCTTCATCTCGAACGGAACATCCTGATATAATTTGATTAAATCAAATCAATTATCAATTTTTTTTAAGCATAATAAAATAATTTAACATGCATATATTTGAAACATTTATTTAAGTTTGCACTTTATTCCTATCATAAGGAGATAACGATATTTACCGATTTCAACAGAAGTCTCTTGATTACTAAATTTTTTTAAAGTAACGGCAGCAGGAGGTATACCTAATTTTTCACATATAAATTCTGCAAGTTCAGGATGGGAGGAACCCGAAAATACCTTTACTCGTCTCATTATGAATTGAAAATTTTATTAAAAAAAAATTTTCTAGCACGGAGCAATTGAATCATCATTATACTAATTTAGTGTAAATCGTTTTCACCGATCTTTAGTTAATCAGTTTTTATTCAATGGTTACACACAAAATTTGAAATCGCGTTATATTACCTATCGCGCTTCAATCGCTTCATTGAAAAACAATGGAAACTCTCTCTTTTAAATTTCTTGCAATTATTTCGAAGTCACATTTTATATCGTATCCATGTCATTCGTTCTCCAATTCATTTAATTCAAGTTCCTTATTTTTTATTAAAAGATTATTAAATAATAATACACGTTTATTAACAAATACTGCAGCAGGAATCGCTGCCACTCCTACAACTCAACAATTAAAACATATAAAAAAAATTGCAATGCATAAAAATCCAAAATTAAATCCAGAAAATCGAATGACAATTTATGCTGGACCATTATCGCTTCATGTCAGAAAATATAAAAGATTAGCTTTATTATTTTGTACTTGTGGTTTTTTACTTGTACCTTCCATTTACTTTTACGGAAAAGCCCCTATCGTTGGAGCAATCGGAGGTAAGTTTCATTTGACATAATAATTTATTATAACGTGTACATATATATAAATAGTATCTTCTCTCTTTTAATTTACAGTTGGATTATCGTCGTTAGTTCCATTATTTTTTATAAATTATTTAAGCGCAACATATGTATCTCGAATATATATTTATCTTCCTCCGCAACGTCGTTATGAACCTTCATTAAGAAGATCATTTAATCCATATGCATTACATTCTTCAGGAAATCCTTATCTTACAATAGAAACTTTTGATTGGTTAGGTAGAATAGAGGAAACTACACTTAAATTATCTGAATTAAAAGAATATAAGAATAAAAACAAATTTCAATGGATAACTTGGATAAAGCAAGAAAGTAATAACAGAATAGGGAAAAGGTTTTATGTAGAAAAAAGGGTTTTAAAACAAGATGTTTTTTCTAAAGGATTAGTTGAATGGATTGAGAAACAAAGTGGATTAAATCAAGTTCAAAAAACTAACGATTTAAAATAAAAAAATATTTATAATTATTTTTTAAATTTTATTTAGCAAAATATTTAAAATCTTTTTCTTTTTCAATATGTTCTTGTTCTTTGAGTTTCATTGTTATAAGAATAGATTAATTCTTTTTTATTAAAGAATAATTAATTAAAAATGCAACACTAAAAACATTTCTCTATTTCTTCATTTCAATGGAATAAAACGTGAAGAGTGGGTAGCACCAATACCTAAAAATTAATTACAATAAATAAATTAATATTTACTTTTGGTTGTTCTAGTTTAGAACAAATTGAATGTAGATATAAATAATCAAGATGAAATTATTAAATAATTTACCGGGACGACCGTGCTTGACGGGTTTATATGAGATGGAAAATTCGGCGAGATAATGACCGATCATTTCAGGCTAAAATTAAAGATTAAGTTAACTTTTCTCTAAATAAATGAATAAAAAAAAATTGTAATCTTTGGATCACCTTAATTTCAACTTGATTAAAAGTTTTTCCATTATAAACGCCAACAATAGAACCAATCATTTCAGGTACAATGATCATATCACGTAAATGAGTTTTAACGACTGCAGGTTTTTCCTCGGCAGGTGCTTCTTTTTTAGCTTTACGTAATTTTTTAATTAAACCCATTGGTTTACGTTTAAGCCCACGTTGAAACCTACGTCTTGCTCTGGAATGAACTAGTTCCATTAAACTTTCACTATTCAAATCTAATAATTGTTCAAGATCAACTCCTCTATAAGAATATTTTTTAAAAGTTCTCTTCTTTTTCAATTCGACAGTTTCTTGTTCGTCAGCCTAAGAAAAAATTGACGATTAATGTAAATTTTCCATGTTATAACACAATATTTTATTTTTATAGAATCATCCATTTAATTTCTTTAAAATATGACCTAAATTTAAACTAAAAAAAAGAATTGTTTTTACCATTTTCGCTTTTATATAATTCGTGGAGAGGAATAAAAAACAAAAAAAAAAAAAATTTGATACTTTTATCAGATCGTAAATGACGCAACAAATCAATATCACGTGATCACAGGTAATTTTATCCGAAAAAGTTAATATATACATATATGCACAGTACATCAAAAAGAATAAAAAATAAATAAATAAACTAAATTTTTAAATAATTAAAATGAAGGATCATTACTTCTAATTAAAATATCATGTTCTCTTAAATAATTTTTAACATTTTGAATTGGAACTTCTTTACGATGAAATATTCCAGCAGCAAGAGCAGCTTCTACATTAGTTTTGTTAAAAACCTCAGCGAAATGCTCTTCTTTACCAGCCCCACTTGAAGCAATAACTGGTATTCTAACGGCCTTTTTAACATCATTTATTAGTTCTAAATCATAACCAGAATTTGTACCATCTTTATCCATACAATTAAGAAGAATTTCACCAGCTCCCATAGCTTCACAAGAGGTAACAAGCTGACGAACATCAATATCTCTTCCTTCACGACCACCTTTAACAGTACATTGATACCAACACCAAAGTTCACCATTAGGTCCAGGAAAAGAAGTTTTAATTAAATGATGATTTGGTTCATCTTCGGGTGAATTAACATAAATTCTTCTAGGATCTACAGAGATTACTACAGCCTGGGAGCCATAAGCATGAGCAATAGTTTCAATAGAAGTATCACCAGATAATTTTTTATTATTAGCCAAATATTTTTCTACGGCATAAACAGCATCACTACCAATTGAAACTTTATCAGCACCAGATCTAAAATATTCACCAGCGACTTCAAGAGCCGAATGAAATTTTCCATCAGGGTCAATAACATCTCTTATACCACCACCAATAGTTAAAGGAACAAAAACTGTTTCCGAGGTAAGTTTTAAAATTTGTAACATTGGTAAATCGGATAAAGGACAATTACGAAAACTTGTAATATTCAAAAAGGTAATTTCATCGGCCCCTTCATCAAAATATCTACGAGCCAATTCAACGGGTTTACCAAGGTTCCTAATTTGTCCACAATTAATATCATTATTTGTAGAACGTTCACGTACATCGTATTGATCACCTTTAGTTACTACTAAATCACCTTGATCATTCGTACGCACATCTAAACATGCTATAATTCTTCTTGTAAATTCATCTTTTGATAATTTTGTAGGATTTTTTATTATAATTTCTTTATCATTATTATTGTTATAATAACCCTCTAAAAATGTTTTCAATAATCTTAAGCCAGCATAACCACTTTTTTCTGGATGAAATTGTGTTCCAAAAACATTATCTCTTTGAATTGAACTAATAAAAATTTCATTACCATATTGAGTCGTAGACAAGATCCATTCTTTAATATTTTCATTATACGGTACTGCATATGAATGAATAAAATAATAAACTTTATCTTGATTAATTCCATAATTAATATCTTTTCCTTCTTTTAAACAATTTACTTTATTCCATCCCATATGTGGTACAGCTTTATTATTATCATATTTATTAAATAGCTTAACAGTACCGGGAATAATACCTAATCCTGGTATATTTGGACTTTCTTCAGATTTTTCAAATAATGTTTGTAATCCAACGCAAATTCCCATAAATGGTTTGCCTGATTCAATGAATTGTTTTAATGGTTTCGCATAATTTTTTTTCACAAGTGATTGCATTGCACTACCAAACGCTCCTACTCCCGGAAATATTAATTTCTAAATTACAAAGATGGATATTAATTATTAATTTTTTAATAATTTCGAATTTTTATTGATACTTACTTCAGCTTTTAATATATCATCAGGTTCTTTAACCCATTCAATTTCATATCCTAATTTATTAACCGCATTAACTAAACTACGAACATTTCCTGCTCCATAATCTAATAAATATAGTCCTCCCATTTCTTTCTTTTTTAAAAAAATAAAAATATTTTTTTTTTTTGTCCTAATTTTATTATCGTGGTTTTTATCTAAATTTGGCTAATGTACCCGATCTAATATTCGCATATGAAATACATCATGTAAATCATGAAATTCTTTTAAGGATAGATCGGCGTTAAACTAATGGATTATTTTATCACGATCCGAGATATAAGCCAGTCATTTCACGAAATCACCGCTCCGCCTTACGGCTTTCCTATTACATTATCTCACCGATTACAGATTGCCAGATTGCCAAACATCCAAACATTTCGCGGTATCCGCGGTATCCATATGCTAATACTTGTATTTTTAATAAAATTAAATTCATACAATTTTTATTAATCTTAATATAACAATCTTAATATAACGATACGATAAAGAGTGAATAAATGATCAACAAATGTTCGTTAAAATCGGGGATGAAATATAATTATCAAGTTAAAAAAAACAAATAGTATTTTTTTTTTTATTCTTCTTTTTTGGCAGAATTTTTTGATCGTCGTCTTTTCTTTAAAGCAGGGATTCCAAATTGCCATATAGCATATCCTACTAATGAAGTTATTAAAACCGACCAAAATATAACTACTTCGTTTGGAGCAGGATTTGGAAATTCACCTCTGCCAAATTTATAACAAATTACTGATTCTGTCATTATATTTGCTATAGTTAACCATGCTTGAGGTCCAAATCTTTTACAATTTCTAGAAATAAATTAATAATAAGTTAAATAATACTCAAAATTTCGATGAAATTTTTAAATAAAGAATAATTGATTCTTTGACTGACTTGTCTGTTAAATATTGATATGCCTCACGTGTACCAGGAATTGAACACATGAAAAGTAACAAAGCTCGATATGTATTAATGGGATGTTCCGGCGGAACCCATAAAAGATATTTCAGATAAAACGAATTCAATTCAGCTTGCAGAAACTAAAAAACAAAAAAGAAATTAATAAATTCGAAATTATGTTAACAGATAATATTGGTAATTATATGAATTTACCAAAAACAAAAGTCCAAGGACTGCCACATAATTTTTAAAACTTTTAGTTGTTCCCCATTCAAATTTTGTCCAATGATGTGGTGTAAATTGTTGCACTATCCTCTTTACTTTTCCTTTTGATGACGGTATCTGCTTAATACCTCTCCAAGAATAACCTTTCATCTCAAAATACTCGCATGTCTTCATTCCAAAATAAAGACCCACCCAATTACATATTAATACATCAAGGATCCACTGTGTAATTAAAGAAAACGATGAAAGCGTTACTTTTTTTAAAAAAAGTGCGAATATTATTTATTATTAATTAAAAATTTTACAACTTACGTGATCCCACCAACATTCAGCAAAATTATTCAATTGATGTTGCAGTGAATATTCCATCACCTCAAACATGACGGATAAAATCCAGCAAAACCAATAATCACGTAAGACAACAGCTTTTGCGTACCATCCGGTAGCATGATATATCACAAATATATCAATTTGATTCTGGTTACAATTGATAATAATATTAGTGATTACAAAAAAATTATACAAACAAAAAGGACTTGATTATTACTTTAACATTCTCATAAGTCAAGTCACAATTTTCGGCATAAGACCGTTCTGGAAGAGGTCTTCCTAATGTTGGATCAATTGCCCTGAGAAATAAGCGCGCATCAAATTTATCCTAATAGGACCAAACAAATTACTATTTAATATCAATCAGAGTTTAAAAGAAATTTGACAAATTGACCCAACCTGAAATAAAAGAAATACAAGAAACATCTGGTATAGCACTCCAAGACCCAAAACAATTCGCCAAAAAGCTGGGTGTGGCCTAATGAAAGGTCCATCTCTGAATTGTAACATAGCAAATAAAAGAAAAAACCCTACTCCGGCCATGCTACCGCTATTCAAAACGATTGAAATCAATACAAAATAGGATGTAAAATGAATAACATTATTAGCTTTAAATGCAATTACAATTTGATATTCGTTGACGTATTCAATTGTTTATCGTCCTCTTCATGATATATTGCAACATATACAAGTCCAAATATCATTGCCGATAATACTGTTAAAGTTCTTGGACGATCTACAAAAGTGAACATTTAATAGCAGGCTAGATTTCAAATCTCTGCAAAAGTACGGAAATAAACAAAATGGTCAAATTTTTATGAGAACGAAGCATACAAAAGAATTCTGTGGGTGGATCATTGTCTATATATGAAACAGGTTGAACCTGTAATGATCTGGCATCGAAAGGATCTATAATTGCTTTGTTTGGAGGATCGGTGGGAGAGGCTTGTGAAGAAGAACTCGCTGTCATTTTCATAGAACTGTCCGTGAAACAAAATTGACAGCGGGTAAATGTTTTTCTTTTAATGCAGATCCCGATATGGGTCAGTGCGCACCATCAGTCCATGTGATCTATTTTGAAATTATGATGCAATTTCAGGAATGAACCTATAAAATATCTAACAGCATACAGCCTTGAATTTCATAATTCTATATTGGACTCGAAATTTAATTAAATTAAAAATTATCGACTTCATTTTGTATACATTTTACTCATTTTACTCAAACAATAAAATAATATAAAGGCTCAAAAAAATACAAAAATATTGTAAATTTTATTTTCTTGTAAAGTGAAAAACAATAAATAAAACTGAAACAATAATTATTTTTAATCTGAAGCAAAATGGATTTGCATTCAGTTGTTAATAATCATTGGCTGGTGTCTTGGCCGTCAATAATGACAACACAGCCTTTAGCATTATTAATTCCTATTGCTTTTACAGTATGCGGCTTAATTTTTACTATAATAAATACTAAATATCGCAACGACACGGTAAAGAATGAAGATCGTAAGTCATTATTCCCATTTCTGTTTTATCCTAACTTTGTAAATTAACTATATTTATATTTTAAAAATAGTTGAGGTTCCTATAATTCAAAATAACACACAATATGTCGTTATCCGAAATAAACGACTTCGAATTGTACACATCATTAATGAACTTGGAGCAAAAGTTCCATTAGTCGTGTTTATTCACGGACTTGGTGGACAGGTTGGATAAGTTAATTTTATCATGTCATTTTAACTGATTACAAAAAAATCTTATAATATTTATATTTGAAATGAAAGGCGACACAATGGGAGAATCAAATCGAATATTTTTCATCAACTGCTAATATTTTAGCTGTTGATTTATTAGGCTGTGGAAAGAGTGAAGTAACAAACAGGTAATTTTCTTTGAAATTCTATAATAATATCTGTGTAACAAAATTCTACAATAAATTCTAACTATAATTATGTACATAATAATTAAAGATCGGAAGATTATACCACTGAATCTTTGGTGGATGATCTTGAAGATCTATTGAAGCGATATCCAAGTGAAAATACTGTATTGATATGCCACTCTTATGGATGTTGTCTTGGTACAAAATTGTATCATCGCGTAAAGCATACCATAAAAGCTCTTACGCTTATCTCAGTTAAAGCCAATGTAACCGAGAATGAAATGACAGAAACGCAAAAAATTCTTTCGTATCCTAATATTCTATTCGATATGTTTCGATATTATGATCGTTTTGGTGGAATTTACTCTACAAGTGTGGATCGAGTTTTACATAAAGATGCAAATAATGAAGTGAGGTCGAAACAATTAAAATGGAATAAACAATCAAAGACGATTGTATGGAAATATATGTTGTCTGGGATTAACTGGTTTAACCAAGCTGATATAAGCTCAATTGAGTGTCCAATATTACTTATGACTGGACAAGAGGTGTAATAAAATTTAAAGTTTTTTTTATTATTATTATGAGTAACTAATCTTCCTTTTATTTTTTAATTACAAATATTAAGGATAAAATTACCCCACCAGGTAATATGACCATTATTCAAGAATGGTGCAAATCACATTCCACTATTTTTTACATACCAGAATCAGGTCATAATGCTATGCTAGAAAAACCTGGTACGGTTAATCTTATCATTAACGATTTTCTTATTAAGAAATGTGGGTTGGAGACTTTGGATCCCGCATGGCAAATCCTTTTCAAGACTAAAGGTGAAAATAAATGGTCTATGAAGAACTTTCAAAAGGTGTGCTATCTCGGATTGATGGTTCGAGATGTCAAGAAGTCTTAACAATTAAGACCTATATACGTAGATTACGCGCAAGTTTTACTCTTCCATATAAGGAATTTTTGGTTTGACGCGTAATTTTTTTTTAGCGTTGAATTTTTTTCTTTTTTAGACTTATTTCTGTTTTAAACTATATCAAGACAAATATGTGATTTATCGCACTCCTCGTCACTCGTGTGGCAATTTAAATATTAGTGGAAACGGACGCCAATAATATCGGAACGAACTGTCGATAACACGAAATTCAGAGCTATGAAGGTTTGACAAAGAATTATAAATTTTCTCGTTTCTTATGGTTATACATTTATCAATGATCGCATTTACAATAAAAGGTTATGCGACAAAACGATGAAGAACATTGTCCAAAATCATTTATTGCTCGACATCCGGATATAGGATTGTAATAAAATTTAATAGTCTTGAAAGTTTCCAATCACTACATAATGTTATTCTTTCCTATTAATGCGTTTATTTGTGTATTCTACAAGTATTATTGATATAACAAAGGATCCGCCGCCTTATCGAACAAGCGATTTTGATAATTCTCATATTACATATATCAAACTAAGTACTGTTAGTAAGATACCACCATCGCGTGATGATATTCGGAGGTTTATTCAAGTTACAAAAGAAGCATGGAATAAGAAGCCGGATAAGCAGATTGCAGTACATTGTCATTACGGGTATGAATAAAATTATGAGATAGTTCGTACGATGACTTTTTTAACTATGATCATATCATTTTTTAATTTTATATATATATAGGTTTAATCGAACAGGATTTATGATTTGTTGTTATTTAATAGAAGAGTTACATTGTTCTGTATCTGACGCACTTCGGTGGTTCGAAGAAGCAAGGCCAGCAGGAATCAAGTACGTGTATTTTCCATTAAGAAGTCCTATATACGAAGAGCTAATGTATAAATTTTTTCCTTCACTTAAGACACCGACATTTCAGAGATGAACTTTATTTACGATATGAAGTTCAAAACAATAGTAACTTATATCATTCCGAATATTCGAATTCTGAATAACATTTTAATTACTTCAGAGGTTTGAATTAAATAGGTTTAATATTTTTCTTTTATACTTATTTATAATTATATAGATAAATTGCATTATTTTAATTTATAATTACAATATTTACCGTTTACATATTCGCATTTGTTTTTTTTTGGTTATATTCACTTAATTTTTATTTATACATATTTTTATCCTTGTTTTTTGTAGATTTGTTATATATCTGTATCTGATGATGTACTATAATATGTATTTTATACATATACATATATATATCTCATAACAATTTTAAATGTTTAACCTTTTAAATAAATAAAATGTCATATAATTTGATTTATTTATATATTGAAATTACTGAAGTACTGAAAAAAAAAATAATTTCGTGATAATAATATTATCATGTAAATTTTAATTTATATAATGATTGGATAAAGAATTCAAAGGATTCCTTGTTCTGTGTTCAGTAGCATTGCCATCATCAGGGGGACCTTCTTCTCCTTGCATCATAGCAGTAACTTCCATAACTCTAGATTGTCTAACTTGGACACCAGAACCGCTCACTCCACCTCCATTTATAGTCGTATTAATAATACCAACAACACTACTACCAACGCTATTATTATTATTAGAAATAGCACCAGTATTGCTGGATGATGATCCAACAGCAGAATTATTATTATTACTTGAAGAACGAGAAATTTCTTCTTCAGACAATTCTTCTTCAGATGGTAATTTTTCTTTTGTTTCCAATACTTTAGTATTATAACCTTGACAGTATGGACATTTATGATATAAGAAATGATATTTTACAGTACTACGTTTTTCACAATCATTACATAATATATGTGCGAAAAAATTGTCATATTCTGGTGGCATTTTCTGTTGGGCAACGATTGCATCAATCCTTCGGAAATAAGGGTCCATATTTCCAATAGATTTCCAACATGTTGGACATTGATATGCTGTTGTAACATATTCGTTGTAGCAATTGCTATGCATACTATGTCCACAAGGCTTCAATTAAAAAGAGAATTTTATCAATATTACAATAAAAAATATGTACTATAAATTCTTCATAGAACGTACCATAAAAATAGCTTGAGATATCGAGGTAAACAAATATTCACCGCAAATAACACAGTCACGCTCCAAATTTTTCTCAATGCATCGGTGAGAATCCCTTAAATTGATTTGTAAGCAACAATCACAAACATCACAATGAAAGTAATCAATTCCTAAACCTCGCCCAACGCGACAAATTTTGCAAGAATCACAATGATATATTTGTTTATTCGGTTGATCATCCCAGAATTTACATTCGTCACAGTAATATCTGGCTAATTCGCGTTCGCATTTGTTGCAAGATTTATTGACTGGTTGAATAGTTTGACAGTACATACACATCATATTTTTGGTTGCATGCCTAAAATAATTTAAAATAATGATTAAAAATACTTTTAGTCGATGTTAGTGTAGCTAATGACAAACCTGTCAATTTGATGATCACAAGCATCATCATGACAAAATCTACAAGTGAACCATCGGTTACAGCAATTCGATTGCAATTTTGCTCCTCTGCGATAATGCTTGCATCCTAATGTTTGAGAGCTTTCATTCTATATTTGAAATAGGTCGAATAATTATTTTTTAGGTCAAATCAGACTAAATTTCCAATTAAATATATATTCTCACATAAGTCTGTTTGAGATCTTCTTCAGTTGGTTCACTATTATTACTAGTGTTTGAGGCCGGCTTCTTTTCAAACTGTCTCCATTTAGAAGTCATTAAATCCTGTTAAGAATGAAAAAAAATAAAATTTAATAATCAATTAAGTTAAAAGGTTTCTTAAAAATAATTTTATCGCATACTTGAATTATATGAGCTTTCTCCTCTGGTTTAATGGATGTATCATTTTGAATTCCAAGAATTACTTTCCTAAGATCGTTTTGAAATTGTAGATCAACTTGAGGCGGTTGGCTTGATTGTTGCCCATTTCTCGTTATAAACTCGCCATCTTCATTTTCATTTTCTTCTTCAGCCTCAAAATCTATCCATTCTTCATTATCGAACATTGTACGGAAACTGTTTTCTATCAAAATACTTAATTAACAGTCAGGATAAACGAGATTGAAAAATTTTAAATAAACCAGCCATTTAATGTATGTGTGCCAGAAGTCTATTACTTAACAATCACGTGATTTTGTAGATTCTATATCATGTGATCTGGAATTCAGCCAATAAAAAACTGGAATTTCTTAAATTTTTTATTATAAACAAGATAAAACATAAGAAAAAGTAAATTTCAGCAATAAAATCACAACTACCATTTCATAAGAGTCATACCGTATTTTGCCGTTTTTGCGGGCCACAGTACCCCCCCATGCAACAAAAAAGAACTCCCATTTTCTACGATTTTATTATTTAAAATAATTTAATAACTGTACTAATAATAAAAACTCACGCAATGGTGTGGTGGAGAGGTATAACCGTATAAGGTCAAAACCTCTGAAATCTGTATCATACCCGGGGTACTGTGGCACTCATGTAACTCGAGTTGACTCGAGTTGAGCTCGCACTCGAGTTAGACTCGAGTCAACCGGGATCACGTGGTTGATAGTGCCGGCTGAACCCTATTTGCACTTTAACTTTGACTCAAATTAACTTGAGTTAACTCTCGAGTACTCTTCGAGTCAAAAAAATTCTTGACTCGTTTTACTCGAGTTGACTCATCCTAACTCGAGTCCAAGCTTCTACCCCCGTTATACGGTACATTGATAAAAAATTAAAAAAAATTACCATTTGGTTTATATTACGATAATTCAGGCTGGCATTATCACAATGTATGGAGTCAGCCCAAATTATCATAAGTTCTGGGCAACATTTTGTTTCAAATTTGAGCCGATTATATGAAAATCATCGGTAATTTGATAGAGTTTACCTCAAAGAATAAAGTTACCAGTTTATTTTTTCTAAATTGTATTTTTTTCAAGGAGTTAAAAGATTTTAAGTGTTACATTTTTATTGTCCAGTATAGACTTCCGGCACCATATTTTAATGGGAATTTTATTTTAATGGGAGTTTATTTTAATGGGAATTTTAGTTTTATTTTATTAGGAGTTTTATTTTTTTACGAATGATCAGCATGTTGCTCTCATAAATTATATTAATGTTCAAATTTGTGGATACTTAAATACATTTTCATTAAGATGATAACATTTATAACTTTTTTTTTTTAAAAAAAAGAATTAAACAATTATATATATAAGGTGGGAGAAAGAATCTCTAAAATCAAAAGAAACAACACTTAAAAGAATAATAATAAAAAATAAAAATAAAATAGAATAAAATAGAATAATTGAAAAAGTAATACAACTTGTATATAGTATAATGTATGAAATAAAATAAAATGAAAATAATTTATATCTAGACCAAAACAATAATATTATTAATGAAATAAAATAAAAATCTAGTCTAGTTCACATTTTGTTTTTCAACTTTTGTAGCCCTTTAAAGTATTTTAAATAAAATAAATACTCCAAAATTTCATCCATATTTAAAAATTATAAAATAAATAATTTGTATAAAAATTATTTTGTGCTAACGTATCTGCCTATAGCCGCAACAAACGATTCCTTATCCTTTTTATCATCCGAAAAGAAATAGTAAGGTTCCGATGATCGGAAATCCACTTTAAAGGAATTAAGTATCAATACTTCGGATTGCGCATCTGTTACGCCGGTTACTTGTCCATCAAGTTCAAGTTTGGAAATAGGAAGTTTATCAGTTTCATCCCGGAAAAGGTATAAAGTCTTTCCACGGAGTTCAAAGAACCGGCGCTTCCAAAACTGTTTGTTTTACAGGGATGTTTAATAAAAAATATGTATTAGATGTAAAATATAATATAATTACAACAAAATAATAATCTATTTATAAAAAAAAGTACGTACGTAAACTCCACCACCTTGAACTGTAATATAACCACTTAATGTAACCTATGAATAAATAAATATTCATCAATTTACAAGAAAAAACCAATTTTTATTGAATCAATTAAGTAATTACTTTTCCACTCTTTTCTAATTCTGCGAATTTAGATCTAAGTTCTTCGGTACGTTTTCGCTCTGCTTCTTCACGAGCTTTACGATCATTTTCTGCTTTGATCTTGGCTTCGGCAGCAGCTTTTTCTTTTCGTTCTTGTTCAAGAGCTTCATTTTTCTTTTTCTCGGCCTCTTCAAGTGCTCTTCTTTGAGCGGCCTCTCTTGCAACCTGTTCGGCTTTTCGTCTATCTGCAGCATCGCGTTCACCCTTTTCGCGGGACTGTCTTTCGGCTTCTTCTTGTGCGCGTCTTTCAGATTCTTGTCTATTGGCAGCTTCACCTAAATCCGCTTCTTGATTAGGTTTTGGAGAACTTGGTGATTGTGCGGTCGGACTAGGTGTGCTATTGAGACGTTTTTGTGTAGAAGGGGAATCAGCTGGGTCACCGAGTTTCAATCGATTACGAACATTTGTTTCCGTAAGATCATTTGGGGTGGAGGCGTTAATTTGAATTTGGTGTGCCTGCTTGACAATGAATGAAATTCATACACAATTGAATTTTAAGACACCGTGTAGTTCATAAGATTTAGAAATTACTTATTGCTTTAATAAACATAAATCGTACTTTACCTTAAATAAGGCACCAACGGCTCTGCCGTGGACCAAAGCGCGGGCTATATTAAACGAAAAAAATTAGCACTTATTGCTAAATTGATGTAAAAATTTAATCATATATTAAACACATTAAATAACTAAAAATTCCGTGTAAGCACCTCTTCGTACACCACTATTAATTTGATATGTCAAAATTAGTAAGAAAAAATGATAACAAATAATCATCCAAATCTTTTTCTTTTTTTTAATTAAACCGTACCTGACTTGTTCGCTCACATAGGTTAACAAGACGAATCTATTTTCGATTCTCAAAAACCCATAAAGAACTTCTTCCTTGAGATTATTGCGAAGCTCATCAAGACCTCCAGATCCTTTGGAATATAAAGAAATTTTGTCTCTTGTGTCATGATAACCGAGAATAAGCCTATTATATAAAAAAAATTTAATTGTTTAATAATCCGGTGTAAAAATTAGATCATTATTTGTCGATATACAACTTTCACTGTGTAAAACATTATGAAAAAAAGAATAAAACATCATTAACGAGCTTAACGAGCAAATTGTTCTAAGATTATGCTTGTTTGTTGGCAAACATTCTATTGCTAGCATTATGTAAAAGGAGTTTCGAACAAATTGTTCTCTGGTATTGACTATTTACAGAGTTCAATCTTAGTTCAAAGATAAATCCCAGCGCCACAAACATCTAATCTTTTAAGCAATATCTAAAATCCTAAATAAGTATAAGAGTAATGAGGGTTTAGGTCCCTACCAGTTAGTTTCCTGGCCACTGACGATCTCATCATATGCTTCAGTAATGGCCAGGTCACTTAAATCGCAGGACATTTTGTGTTATATATAAATTAAATAAAATAAAAACTTAAATAATTGAGGTTTTAACAAGTAAATAAGTAAAAAATATATATTCAAAGGAGTGAAAAAGTTTGCCTGCAAGAAAATGTAAGGAAAAAAAATAAAAACTAAATGTGTAAAGTAGAATAATTGGGTCGCTTTACGTGTTAACGTTACATAAAAATAGCATACGCTTGTAAATTTATATAAATTTGTGATTGTGCACAAAAAAATACTTTTATCAAATTTACACAACATCAGTACAGTATATCTTTAATTCAAAAACGCAACGCTCACACAGATTATGATTAATCTTTGATTCTCACTTGATCTACAAAAAAATGTGTTTGCTGCGGTGATCTTAACGACAATACAGGTTACATTGCTCTTGTCATTAGTGTAAAAATCGAATAAAAAGAGAATCGAAATTTATTAGATTAAATCAATAATTGTAGTTTAATATTGCAAAAAAAAAAAAAATTAAATAAATATCTAATTTATTATCGGAATTTAAGTTCTAACAATTTGGAATTGTTGAAACCGTAAAATGCGTTCTTCTACTTCACGCATTTTATCTTCGTACATTTGATTATGTTCAGCTTCAATACGTTCTTCTTCCTCCGTTCGTTGTCTAGCTTCGTTAAGTTCTTGTAATCTATATTTTTTACGACGTTTCTTAAGATAATTTTTTTTAGATTTTGTTGAAAATACAGGAATAGTGCGTGATTGTTGTTCCCAAGAATTTTTATTATTATAAGACGATTCCTTTGAATTTTTATTGGAATCAGAATATTTATTAACAGAAGAGGAGGAAGAAGAATGAATGTCAGAATAATTCAATGATAATGATTTCTTCGAGAGGGAAGATGAATCATTTTCTGGGGTAAAAGTATTCACATAATTACGAGTAATAAGGTCAATACGCTTCTCCCTATCCCATATATGTTGCCCAGTATCAACATCTTTAAAATAACGAACGCGATGGAACTATTGCGATGATAATATTTTAAAAACGTAAATTTACAATTTTTATTGTAAGTATTATTTATGCTATAAGTAAATATTAAGTAAAATACCGGTATCTCTTCGGATTCAAATTCTTCTCTGGTTGCTTCCATAATGCCCAAAAACCTCTTTTTATTTCATAAAGGATATGTTTGCCAACCATACAAAAGACAAAAAAACATTCATCACTCTAAGAAAACACCTACATCCTCATAGCCAATTACAAAGTTAGCCCCGGAAATACAATCTTGATCCCAAAGTAATCGTTCATAAATTTTATGGGCGGGCTTTAACCGTTGAACCTTTGACATTATTAAAATGGATATAAACTGCGTCCAGGATTTCAACGGGGAAGGCTTATTCTTTAATCGCAGTAAAACACTTATGTAGCACAGTTTATTTCCTCGTGTTACCATATTGGATCAGCAACCCGCATACAGAGTCAAGATTCGATATTATAATTTTAGATACCATTCGTTACCCTTACTTTTCATTATATAAAAAAAAAGTACATCTGCATATATGCTTGTATGCTTAGTATGTTAATGCTAATCAATTTCATTATTTTATTTAAAATTAATTGTTTTATTATTATTAAATATTCTAATTTATTTAAAAATATGATATCCTGCTGAATCTTGTCTTCACATATTCTCAATTTTCATCTTCTTTTTTCTTCCTCCATTAGTATTTTCTCTCTTATCTTTTTTATTATTATAGTTATTCTCTTCAATTATTTCATTATTATCAGTACTTGTATCATTGGATACACTTAATCCAGGTACAACTGGTTTGACTAATTCCAGTTTTAATTTTTGTCTCATGCCTCCTGCGCCACCTCCAACTAAATCTTCGTCTACGCTTACTTGAACTATAACTTTATCAAATAACTTGATACTTATTTTCTTACCATCTCCTGTAATACTATCTAAACTATTATCATGTGAATTGTAAATAATTAGGGATGTTGAATTTGACGCTGTTGTGTTTAGTTTTGTTTTTGAATTGTCTGATGAATATACAATTCCTTCGATACCATATCTACGATAAAATAAAAAAAAAATAATTAGCTTAAAATCATAAATAATAATTTAATAAAAAAGAAATATAGCTAATACTTTTGTACTAAGACAACGAATCCATTCTTTAGTACACGAGTGACGTATCCTTCGACTTGTTCGGTCTTTCCTTTAAAGAAAAGATTTGTATGCAATTCTACAGAGCTCCGAGCTGCCATTTGTGCCATTCTATGCCTATGATTTAATACATCACAAAGTTGTTCTATTTTTTTTTTATCAATAAGTTCACTACCATATACTTCATCATCATATATAGATGCAGCTAACATTCTATGTACAATTACGTCGGAATATCTTCGAATTGGCGACGTAAAGTGTGTATAAATCTCTGAAGCAAGTCCATAATGTCTATATTCATGCACTGAAAATGTGCCAGAACAAAAATAGGTGGCTTGCATCATACATCTTGTTGTTAATATTCTTAATAATTTGTTGAAATATGGATCTTCGGGTAACTTTAAGATAGAGAAATTTAGTCATAAAATAATAGTAATAATAATTTGATTTCTGTACCGACAAAGTTTACATACCACTGCTTCATCTAGTGAGTCTGCCAGAGCCTTCGATGTTTCATAATGTAACGTTAAACCAAAAGCAGAAATAGCTTTGTTTAAATTATCAAGCTTAAATGCAGTCGGAGGAGGATGCCGTCTAAAAACCATTTTATATATATTATTATCTTCAACTGTAAATACTAAAAATCGGTCGCATATAATTACCTTAATAGTGATGAGGCGGCAAACTTTTTATATATCTTTTCAGCTACTGATATATTAGCCAACAACATAAATTCCTCAACAAGTGCATTGGTTTCTCTCAATTCCTTCATTTCTACATCAATAGGATCTTGTGAATCAAAATCTAACTTATATCGAACTTCAGGACTTGCAAGTGTCAATGCACCACGTTCCATACGTCTTGCACGAAGTTTTTTAGCTAAATCATTTAAAACTCTAAGACCTTTTGTTAAATCATCCTGTAAGCGTCTATAACATTTTATTAGTGTTAATAACTTAAACGTGATTATGATGCAAATTAAATTAATCTAAAATTATCCCTACTGGTCATCAATACGAGCTTGAGCTTCTTCATATGTGAAAGATTCCTTTGATGAAATAATACTCTTAGTAAAAGTAACATTAACAATTTCTGCTTCAGGGCTCAATTCCTAAATAAAAAATTATAGAAATTATATTAATCTAATTACGAAATTTATGACTGAAGTTTAATTTTAATAATTACCCAAATACATGAAAATGCGAGTCTGTCAACTTTACTTTTAAGGGAGCATAAATCTGCAAATAAATAAATAAATAAATAAAATTAACAATAGATATTCAATGAATTTAATTATTTTATTTATTTACTTGTTCCTAATAATCCTGGCAACATATCAATACGCTTGTTAATCAAATAAACTGTTGTTCCACGTAAAGCGGCTTCTTCGTCTAGTGGAGTATTTGGTTTAACAAAATGTGTGACATCCGCAATATCTAGGAATAAAAAAATTTGTATTATTTACTGACATTCGATAAATCAAAAACCAGCAATTAAAGTTATACTAACGAACTCCAACTTCATAATTGTTGTTTGGCAATTGTCTCACATGTAAAGCGTCATCAATATCCGTACATCCTAATTATAATAAAAATGTAAGACGATCATTAATTTACTAAATTAAAATTATATAAATGGATATATCATCGTACCGGGAGGATCAATGCTACAGACATTCAAATGTCTTAAATCGGCTCGTCTTTGTAAATGTTCATCCTTAACTACCCATAAATCACCTTCAACGGGTAAACAATTCAGGACTTGTTGTGCAAATTCTTGATGTGGCACATCATGCTCCAAAAGTAAAACTTCTGTTTCAGTTAATTTATCACCCGCAGCGCCAAGAGCTTTAACAAAATGACCCATTGGAAATCTACATCACAGAGAAATTTAAATATTAATAATATAATTTTCGATTAAAGTATATAAATCCTTACATAGAATCCTTATGCCATGAATCGATGGCAACCAATATTCTTTGTCCCATAAGGTTTTGAGCCTGCCTAGTTCTTATATTTATTCTTGGTATTCGTCTATCTATAGGATAAACCGACACATTTTCAGACAAAGTCGATGTACTGGAACCTTTAACAGATTGTTTGTTAATGAATCCACAATATCTATAAATCAAAATATTAGTTAAGAGAGAAAATATATTAAATTTTTTTTCTTTTTTTTTGTCAAATTTACATACGGTCTCCAATTTTTTTTAATAATCCCAACTACTTTTCCAGTAGGCTGTGGTGCTTCGAATAGATCACTATCTGCTTCTTCAGATTGTTCTTTAGGTTTGCAATTCTCTTGCAATTCTTCGGCTAAATTCTTTTCTTCCTCTATTTATAAAAAGTAATTCAATATTAAGCGTGAAATCCTATACCGAAATTTTCATTATTATGATTAGATATCTTAGTATCAACCTTCTTCTACAATTACTGCTGTTGGAGCCCTAAGCCATTCAGATTTCGGAAATAGTTGAACAGCAACAATATCTCCTTGGATGGCTCTATTTAAATTTTTTCTTCCAAGTATCGTTATTTGAATATCACCATTTTGAATAGATCCCTATAAATATTTAAAATATTTAATAAAAGATAAATTTAAACAGTATAATATTTTGTCAAATCTGTAATAACCTCAAGATAATTGTGCATGCTTATATTCAAAGTTCCTTGATATAAAGTTTGATTCTTAATTCCATTTGTTATTTGTGAAGCGGAAAGATGCTAAATTAATTTTTTTTTTAAAAAAAAAATAAAATTTAGAAACTTTTTTTTTAAAAAAATAATGGGCTAAATAAAAAGTAGTTACCTCCTCATAGACGATTTTTTTGTCCTTATTATCAGAAATACGAACATTTCCGAGCATGTCAACCAATTCTGGAGTATCAATCATTCCTTCAACATATTCTCTAACTAATTAATTAACAAAGTTTAAAATTTTTAGAACTTCATAAAGGGCATGAAATGAAACTCCCAAGACCGAACTAATAAATAGTAATGAAATATATTCATGAATAAATACCTGAGTAAGCTAATAATCCATCCTGCTTAGCTCTTTGTATATTTTCTGCATCATCTGTTAAAAGAACAATCTCAAGAGATTTTCCTTTATCAGCAATTTGCTTAACATGAGTTGCATACCATTTAACAGCTGCCCTTATAGCTAATATCATAAGAATAAATTTAGTTTAAATTATTGTATTAAATAGTTAAAAAAAAATTAAAACAAACCTCGATCGTTTCTATCGTTTGGGGACTCTTCTTTTATACGTTCAATGAATGTATCCCTTGTATAAAATAAATTTTGTCAATATAATCAATTTAATATTATAAATAAAAAAATTTTGTACTTACCGATGATGTTCATTGGCGAACACGTAAAATTTTCGGTTTGGGTCATTTATCATTTTTTTCAGTCTATTATATACAGATAAGCTTAAATGTCGTAATTCTTCATAAACAGTTTGCAAAATAATAACATTTTGTAAAGCTGGATGCTCAATTATATCAATCTATTAAATATAAAAATAAGAGTGTGCGCATAGGTAAAAATCATCGTAAAAAAACCTTTCGGAAGTTGAACTTACTTGATTCATAAAAACATTCGTGTCAGGTATAATGTAATGAGGTTTTGTTACAAGTTTTGTTTTAGCTGGAATAGAACTTAATATTGGTTCAGTGTGAGAGCATATTGTGCAGCATTCAACTGAACACCAAATATCGTCTCGAAGATAGTGTTCTTTTACAGCTTTAAAAACTTTACCACCTCGACCGCGTTTGAGGTATGATTTATTATGAAGCATTATTTGATACAAGCACGAGGAAAGCTTAGATAAAACAACCCAAAAAAAATGAAAAATTTATTATTGATCGGCAATCAGAATCTGATTGGACATATGTTGTTATCAGTCAAAATTTCCACAAGAACGAATGAATCGATATACAATATATCAAAAACAAAAAGAAAATCTCCAATCAGTGTGAATAACTGAATAACTTATGATTAAGTTGAATGAAAACTTAAAAAAAACAAGTCCATTGAGACGAAAATCGAGACGATTCACATACGAAATACGCGGCAAAGTATGCTGCGCCTATCCAATTTGAGTGTAACTTATTTTGAATATAAATAATCTCCATACACGAAACATTGATAATTTTTTAACCCATAAATAACGGGTTAGACATATGTCAGTAGTTTATTTAGACCTAAAGTCTATATATTAGAACAAAAGAAAAGTGACTTTTTAGTCGTAAAATGGGACAAGCCGATTCACGGCCTTTACAAGATATGGTTGACAAAAGCAATTGTATGTTATTTAACGAATATACTTTAGCAATCATACTTTAACTATCAAAGAATCCTAACAAATTATCCATTCTAGTCACTTCAGAAGAGATCCAAAGACTTTATAAAAGGTTTATGAAACTTGACAAAGATAGGTCAGGTTCCATTGACCGAGAAGAATTTCTTTCGATTCCACAGATTGCAAATAACCCTTTAGCGTCAAGGATGATTGCTATATTTGATGAAGATGGTGGCGGGGATGTAGATTTTAAAGAATTCATTTCTGGTTTAAGTGCTTTCAGCGCGAAAGGAAATAAAATTGAAAAATTGCGTTGTAAGTTTTGTTTCCTATTCTATAAAAAAAAACAGATCTCAAAATAACCGAAAATGATTATTTATTTTTTTTTTTTATTACATATAGTTGCATTTAAAGTTTATGATATGGATAGGGATGGATTTATTTCTAATGGAGAATTGTTTCTTGTTCTAAAAATGATGGTTGGAAATAACCTTAAAGACAATCAACTCCAACAAATTGTTGATAAAACTATCATGGAAGCTGATAAAGACATGGATGGAAAAATTTCCTTTGAGGAGTTTTGTTCAATAGTGGAGTCTACTGATATTGCAAAAAGCTTAACTTTAACTGATTTCTAGCAGAAAGAATAAGAAATATATATATAATATTAATTACATATTTATGTAGCATTCTGTGGTTTTGCTATTATACATATAATATATAAATAATTTATTCAGTCTCCCATTTCGTAAATCCAACTTTATTATTTATATTCAAAAAAAAATATATATATATATTATTTCTTTTTTGAATTAATGTCCAAATTACTATTTTTGTTACTGATAAAACAGTTTGGAGCTAAATCTTTCTAATTTAACTTAAAAACTAAAGGTTTTAATTAAAAATGATAAATTTCTAAATTCAAATTAATAAAAGCAATACATACCTCATCTGTCATCATTTAACCCACCTGCATTTTTGTTATTTAGTAAATAATCTCTTCTGGTAATTATGGGTTAATTTTGTCTCTTTTTTGTATCTCCGATATGCTTCGCGTAAGTGTTCTGGTGAGAGAGAGCCTGTTTCCCCCCATTCTTGTCTAACATCAAGAGCTTTAATTTATAAAATCAAAAGAAAATTAATAAAGAAAATATTTAGACTAATTTTTACACATTATATAAATACCTTTTTCGACAATTTCGCCCACGAATACTTTTGCGAAGCCGGCGACAACTATTGACATGTTATGTGAACATGGATGTCCAAGTATTTGCCCAACCATCTAATTAATAATAATAAAAATTTGAAAATGAACTGATATACCATAATATTATTTAAGAAAAAAAATATATAATCACTCTTTTAACATTTGGTTTGCTCAACGCTGAACGTCTGTAAACTTCATATCGTTTCAATTGTTCTTCAGAGAAGTTATCCAATAACATCCTAAAAAAAAAATTAGTTAATATTATTTTAAAAAATTCCCATATGTATTTTTTTATTCCCCTACTTAAGTTCCTCTTTGGATCTTGTTTGACTCCATTCAGTATTTGCAGTTCCACCTAATTCTTCATCAGCATCTTCTTCCTCCTCACCTTCTTTATTATTATCATTTACTTTGCTGCCTCCTTCAATAAGATCATTATCATGTAGTATATATTGATCAAGTTCTGAAGCAGGTGTAGGAGGTATGGAAAAATAAGCATCGCGAGGTGTAGAAGGTGAAGTACTTGACGCTGGTGTTGTAGCCGTTCCGGTAAAAGAATCTCTTTGTAAACTCAATTTACGACCACCACTAACACCAGTTCCAGTACCACTTCCTCTTCCTCTACCTCGTGCGGAACTCCCTCTTGTGGAGCCCCCACGTGAGCCAACTCCGCCTCTTCCAGTTTTTGGAGTAGAAGCAGCACTAGCTCCACCACGTTTACCACCTCTACCTGTTGCATTGATAGGCGTTGAATATGATTTAGTCACTTTTGGTCTTTTTGAGGTACCCGCTGTCGAAGCAGAATTTTTTCTTGATATGGTGAATTCTGGTGCTTGACGTTGATCCATTTTTTTTTTAATAAGATATTTTTTTAAGATATTTTTATTAAAAAAATAATATTTTAAGTAGAGTTTGTTAATTTGTTATTATGCATAGAAGTCGCAAAGACGATTATCCCGCACAATCCAATCGGTCCAATTAATTTACCCGTTCTAATTTAAGGTTTCTGATTATCTCATCTTTACAAGTAATTTAAAGGTAGTTAGTATAGAATAATTATCGAATAATTATCGTAAGAACCAAAAATGAGACCCATGAAACCCATCATAAACGTAGTTAGCTTATTTTTAATTTTAGTACTATTATTAATTAGTTTCCCTAAAGAACTTGGAGAAGTTCCAGAACAGGATATTGCGCGTTGGACTCGGTATCCAGCGTGGCATCCTGAAATTATTGGTTTGTAAAAATGTTTTTTTTGATTTAAACCTCAAGCCTTTCATATACTAAAACATTCTTTCAATAAATTTTATTCTGAAATGTATAGGTTATAATTATGAAATATCTGATTCCTTAGTTTTATTGGCAATTGTGCTTACAATTGGTTCTTCTTATTTTGGATTAAAGTGGTCAACTGAACCACCGAAACAACAAAAATATATTTCATATCTTTATAAAGATGGAACAGCAATACCAACAACAGGATTTATTCTTTTATTGTCTTTTTATATATCACTAACAGGAATGGCTGAAATTACTTATTGGTTATTTGATGTTGGTAAATTATGGAGTGTTACAGGTTCTTTACACAATGTATTGGAAGTTGCAATTTTACTTTTACTACATAATGGAGGAAAACTAAAATCAAATTTAACTTTTGCCTGGTTGGGAGGATATATTTTATTGGTAACTATATTAAGTATGAAATTATCATGGCCTTATGATGGGATTTGGTTTAAAATTCAAGGTAAATCTATGAATTTATTCTTAATTTATTCATACCGGATTCTTTTGTTAACACTTTTCTTTACAATCTAGGTCTTTGTACAGACTATGCTGTAATTATTCAGTTTATTCGTATTTATTTCTCAACGCGTAAAAATCTCCGTGAAGCAAATGATGAACAACTTCCATTAAATACTGATGAGCAAGTTATTCTTTCTACCTCGACGAATAAAATATCTTATGATGAATTTTTTCCAGATAGCGTTTCTCATCCAGATCAACTTATATTATTGATTTTAGGTTCAATTGCACATTTAATTGGTAATATCGCGAATAGTATTTGGATACGAAGTACTTTAGCGTAAGCTTGATTTTTCTTTTTTTATTTTTTATTCTCCGAAACGCATACATATATTAATGTGATTCTTCCAAATTGTTAGGTTTCAAATATTTCAATTAAGCTATGTTGTAACTTGGCCTTTATATGCTTACTATATATATGTTGATACTCATTGTGCTGGTATGTTTCAACAAAAACGTATTTACTTACCTGACACTAGACGTTGGAAAGTCATATGTGTTATAATTTCGACTTTTATTTTAAGTATTGGTTCGGTTAGATTTGCAATATTTGTACAAAGTTTGTAATCTACCTTATTTATAAATTCAAAAACAAAATAAAATAGACAACCGAAAAAAAATACTCGTGATCAAAAATCCAGCGTTTAATATTACAATCTTAAATGATTGGAAAATAAGAATAAAAATAACTTTTTTTCTTCAAATTTTGGTTGCATGTGACTTTATTTGAAAGTCACGGAATTTATAAAACTTTTTTTTATTAATTTTTATGAGCAATGTAATGTAAACCAGATAATTAAATTGGTTCAGCCTTAAACGGAAATTACTAATGCAATCAAAACCCTAATAATTATACTAAAACCCGAATCTCATCATACCCAATCCTCGATGTACAGTATTGGAATTTGATGGACATTAAACTCATCGATGAAAGGCATTTGATTTATCGTTAAATATAACAAATTGAATTTGAAGTTTAGAAAATAAAATAATATATTTAAACAAATATCAGTAAAATGCGCTTACTATTAATAAGTATTTAGGATAAATGTGATATGTGCACTCGTTATAGAGTCTTAATATTAATAATAATTAAATCTTACCCTCACGTTCAATACTGAACACTTTCTTATATAACCCCATCAATAAAAGCTTTGCTGCAATCAGCTTCAGTCAAATATTATAATTTACTGACCACCAAACCACCCTCCACCACCAGATCGACTACCGAGATTCTGTTGTGCTTGAGCCGCCATGTTTTGATTATATTCTGCAAATCTTTGTCCTACTCTTTCATTATGTTTTAAAAATTTATCGGTACATCGTTGAATACACGTTTCCTACAATGTTTTAGTTTTAATAAAAGTATTAGATTAATATGACATTAAAGTGTTGATTAGATATAATTTACCTCTTTTGTTGTTAACGTTTTCGAAGTGAAATCATTAATACAATCATTAAAACATCTATCAACCAAGTTTGAATAAAACTTCATAAAATCTCTCATCTAAAATAATTTTATTATAATATTATTTTAAATTAATAAATATGAAATATTTTAAGCAACGTTGTACTCAGTCGTGCATAAATAATGTATACTGTTCAAATAATGTTTAAAAGATTTAACAATTTTTTTATATTTCAAATTTAGTTCATTATGTAAATTTTAGATAAAAATGTTCGAAAGGTAGTATTAAGAAAAAACCAAAATAAAAAAAATAAAAATGACAATTGTATCATATTAAATAAACATTTAAATTAACAACAGTAAAAAATAAAAACCTGCTTCTGTTCAAGTAATTTCAAAATATGCGCTCTTTCAGCATCATTGTAATGTGAATAGTCCATATTAACCCGAAAAAACAATTTTTTTTAGACTTTTTTTTATCATAAATTTTTATCATGAATTAAAAGGTAACACAGATAATCAGTTCACTAAAAATGTGTGTAACCCAAAGCCATACGTATTAGTAGTATACACAAGTTACAACCCAATAATTTCGAATTTCTCGCATATTATCAAATGTCGAAAATTCTTTCCAATTCAACTCTCACAAGAAGATTCGGCCCCCTCGTACACAGAACCATAGGTATAGCTCATAGTAATATTGATGCCTTACAAATTCTGGTGAACACTACATTAATCTTAACTGGTTCAATTTTTTTTTTTTTTAAGGAGTTCGTGCTTTCAACTTAAGTACGCCTAGAAAACAAGAAATTGAAGTATTTGTAGATAACAATCCTGTTACGATAGAACAAGGAAGTGCTGTAATTCAAGCATGCGAAAAGGCTGGCTATACAATACCTCGCTTCTGCTATCACGAGGTCTGTTAAACTATCCAAGTTAATTGACTTATCAAAATAAGAGATTTCAAAACTTATTTGAATTTGGATCAAAATTAGCGGTTATCTGTTGCCGGTAATTGCCGAATGTGTCTTGTTGAATTGGAAAGGTCACCAAAACCTATCGCTTCTTGCGCAATGCCTGTTATGCCTGGAATGAAAATAAAAACTGATACACCACTTGTGAAAAAGGCACGTGAAGGTGTAATGGAATTTTTATTAGCTAATCACCCTTTAGATTGTCCAATTTGTGATCAAGGTGGGGAATGTGATTTGCAAGACCAAGCCGTACGTTATGGTAGTGATCGAGGTAGATTTCATGAAATTGCCGGAAAACGTGCAGTTGAAGATAAAGATTTTGGACCTTTAGTTAAAACGAGTATGAATAGATGTATTCATTGTACTCGCTGTGTTAGATTCGCGAATGAAGTTGCAGGAGTTCCAGATTTAGGTACAACTGGAAGAGGCAGCGAAATGCAAATTAGTACCTATATTGAACGTACATTAAATTCAGAAATGTCTTCAAATATCATTGATTTATGCCCTGTTGGTGCATTAACTGCAAAACCATATGCTTTTTCATATCGACCATGGGAACTTAAAACAACAGAATCGATTGATGTTTTAGATGCTATTGGTAGTAATATTAGAGTAGATTCAAGAGGAGTGGAGGTTATGCGAATCTTGCCTAAATTAAACGAAGAAGTGAATGAAGAATGGATTTCTGATAAAACCCGATTTGCTTTTGATGGGTTAAAGAGGCAGAGACTTACTATGCCCTTAGTTCGTCAAGCTGGTAAATTTGTAGCTGTTACATGGGAACAGGCCCTATTACATGTTGCTAACGAAATTCATAAGGTTAAAGGTTCTGAAGCAAAAGCAATTGCCGGTCAGCTTGTAGACACTGAAAGTTTAGTTGCTCTTAAGGATCTATTTAATCGCATTGGTTCAGATAATTTTGCCATGGATACTGCTAATGGATCTCAAGTACCTGCTCATGGTGCTGATTTTAGGTCAAATTACCTTTTGAACAATAAGATTATTGGTGTTGACAAAGCTGATGTATTGTTATTAGTGGGCACTAATCCACGTCATGAAGGCCCTATACTCAATACTAGGATTTTTAAGAGTTATGTTCATAATGGTTTGGATGTTGGATTAATAGGCCATGCTGTCGATACTACTTATGAATATGATCACGTTGGTACTAATAGCGAAGCACTTGAAAGTATACTAAATGAAAGTCATCCATTCTCTAAAAAGATTGCTGAAGCCAAGAGACCAATGGTTATAGTTGGTAGTGGTGTCCTAGATAATCCTGATTCCGAATACGTGTTTTCTACAGTATCCAAAATAGCAAAAAAACATGAGAATTTGTTCTTCCAAGACGACGATTGGAATGGATACAACGTATTACAAAGGGTTAGTATATCGTTACATATCGTATTAAAAATAAATTAATATTAATATTCATATTTGTTTGCAATATATTGATAGTCTGCAAGTCGAGCTGCAGCTTATGATGTAGGATTTATTCCATCTGCAGAAACTTCAAAAATCACACCTAAGTTCCTTTATTTATTGGGCGCGGATGAAATTACTCCGCAAGATATACCAAAAAATGCATTTGTAGTTTACCAGGGACATCATGGTGATACTGGTGCACATTATGCTGATGTAATCCTTCCTGGAGCTGCTTATACAGAAAAGAGTGTTACATATGTAAACACTGAGGGTCGATCACAGTTGACACGGGCAGCGGTCCCACCTCCAGGTGCTGCACGTGAGGATTGGAAGGTAATTATTATTATTATTATTATTATTCTAATCTTTATTTAACAAAAATGTACATTTATTAGATCATCCGGGCCTTATCGGAGGTAGCTGGTATTACATTACCATATGATAATATATATTCACTTCGCAATCGTATGAATGATATTGCTCCACATCTTACACGATATGATCTTGTTGAAAATGTGATTAATCCTGGATTAGGTCTTACACAACTAATGAATAAAACCATAAAATCAACAGGAGCTATATTCAAGTCTGTGATCCAAGATTATTATATGACTGATAGTATTTCACGGTCTAGTCAAACAATGGCCAAGTGCTCTGCTGCTTTTACAGATAATGGGAAATAGAAACTGATGTTTAAAAAAATAGACATCACAATATTACTTATCACATTATGAAATTATTTATGGATTTATTGTATAAATAAAAAAAAATGAGTTTTAAATAGTAAAAACTTTACTATTGCCTTCCATTATTGATAGTATTAATTAACTATACTATATTAATTCTTAACAAGGTGGGTTATACAGATAATAAATCAGTGACCAAATTATCAAATACTATACTTTTACATTGTATAATAACCTTTTTATTTATATTATTGAGCCGTAATACTAAGAACGCCTTAACTGTTAAAGTACTTTAATTTTGAATTAATAGAAATTATCTAAGTTAATATATCTTTTTTATTTTTAAAAAATCCAGCAACTTTACCCACGATTTGGCCAAATTTTCGACATTCAGTTACATTTTGTTTTATCCATTTAGGCAATTTTTGTCTAATCTGATTATTAGTGTTAAATCTTTTATCAATTAATATTATAGTAGCATAATCTTTTTGATGACGTATTGCTCGACCTATAAATTTTAAAAGAATTATAAATTACATTCAATTTAAAATATGGGTGTCATATTTAAAAAAATTACCTATGGATTGATTTACCGCTTTCATACACAAATTCTGATAATATTCTTTGCCATGTTGTGAAGGATTAGATGATTTTTCACCTGCCGAACTTTCTCCAATCTGATTCATAAACTTCATTTTTTCACTTAATCCAACTGAAGTTAAATTTGCAAATGGTAATCCAATCATTATTACTCCTCTGTTATTAACAATATTATGTGAATTCAAAAAGAACTAAAGAACAAATTTAAGATAATTTTAATTAACAAAATAGTCACCTTCCTAGCCTATCTGAAAAATTTATTCCTTCGCTCACTTTGCCACCTACAACACAAAGTAATATTGCTCCATCTTTGTTATTAGAAGAATGAATATGTAAATCATATTCATTTAAAACTTTATCAACCAATCGCGTTTCGCGTGGCTCTCGAAAAATCTGAAAATAAATACATTATTATATGAACTGATACAAATTCAAATGTTGAATATAAATATAATACCATTTTATATTTCCTTATTCTTTCCAAAATCCCATTTTGTTCCCACCGTTTATATACTTGTTCTAAGTACGCATAAGATGTAAAGAAACATACAACACCGTCAGGTATTATATTACAAAGATTTACAATAGTTTGACCTAATTCATCAATCTTTTTTTTTAAAGAAAAAAAAAATAGAATTATGTGACTTAAACATGTCAAACGTAACAGTTCAATACAAAATCTACCAATTTAATATCACCGCGCCGCTCAAAAGTAAATTCAAGAGTCCCTCCCATAGGACCTTCTGACAGTGTTAAGGTCAATAAATTTTCAGGTGGTATAATATGTCCACATGAAAATTTACTTAATCTTTGTGGTGGGAGATATGGAATTAATTGTCCTATTAAATCATCGGTCTTTTGTTAAGTTAAAAAGGGAAATTTAAAAATAAAACTCAAAAAAAGCCAAATGATTGGGCTAAGCTAAATAAAACTTTAACTAACAGGTTCCATAGTACCACCAGCCAAGATAACGCTTCTCGCATCTTCCACTATATCCTTAAATTGATTCGAAGGGTTTAATAATAAATACTTGATAATAGGTACATACTTTGTTGTTGTACCTCCTCGTTTTCCTTCAACAGAAACACTTATTTGTTGGAACCCAAGAATAACGCGTCCATCTTGATTGCCATTTGTTAATGACATAAAGAATGCTTCAATTTGGCTTAAAGATGGAAGAGTTGATGAATTCTTTTCGTCTATAATATTTAAATAGATATGATAATATAAACATAATTCAATATTGAATAAATTTTAACTCAATAATTACAGCTTGTTTGCTGCGCTTGATGAATTTCAACACCTGTTCTTGATTCAATTTTATCAATAAATCCATTCAGCTACATAATGTAAAATGAGGAATTAATTAAAAAGTTCATAGCTTAAATAAGACTATACTAGTAAAAATTTACCTTTCTAGCAATCTGACTTTTTTTCAAATAATTTTCTATTTTAAATAAATTTAGATCCCCAATCTTCAATAAATGTAAAAAATCATTGACAGATTTAATATAATATATTTCTTCTTTATCTTTTCCTTTCTCTTCGCACTTTTTCTCAAATGATGTTAAACATTTTATTAAAGCATCCAACAACGACAAAATTTGCTGAATATACATTATATTCTTTCCCAACAGTCGTTTTTTATAACGATCAAGATACGCATTTAATTGTGAGTGCACTTTCACTATTTGCGGTAAATCAATTTGAACAGTGTGAACTGAAGTTACTGTGTCAACGAGATTATGAGCTTCGTCAATAATGACAATATTATTTTTAAGTGAAATGCCCATTGATTCTCGTGAAGATTTTTGAAGTAATAGATTATATGGAAGAATAACAATCTGTAATTTCACAATATAAATTAAATTCAAACGAAAATATAATATTAAGGATGTAGTAAAGACTTCATTACCTGACACTGTCTAATACTTTTTCGGGTACCGTAATATGAACATGCATTTAATTTACGACCTATATCAACTAATTCTTCAATATCACGTACCGAAGCCTGTATTCAACATAAATTGGTTCAATGTACTATCATGAATAACCTTTAAGAAAATAAAACGTGCAAATACTTACTAGCACGTGGTCTCTATAATCCAACATACGTGATTTGTCTCTTATAGGAATATACGGACATCTTTTTTCAGGTTTTTTGCCTAATTAATATAATGTAATTTAACCCGCGACTTTTTTTGATGTTTTAGTTATTTTTAGTTAATACCTGCTTTTTGCATGTCCAAACACCTTTCATTAATTCTATTAATATTTTTTAATTTTCTAACTTCTTCATTAATACATAAATTTTTTCTCGAACCCAAAGATACACATTTCACATCTTCTGCATACACAGTTTTACGAAGTTCGTTAACGAATTGAGTTAATTGCGAATGTGTCCTAGAACAATAATATATCTGTGTACACAAGAATTTAGTACTTAACAATATTAATAATTCGGATACGTGAAAAATTATTTCAAAAAATCTACCTTTATTTCATCGGGTTCTCCTTCTTCAAATTCTCGGGCGTCTTTATTGTCATCAAAATTTTCAAGACTCTTACCTTCTTGGAATCTTAAAAGAAATTAACAAGTCACCCTTAAGAATAACATTAACTCTTAAGAAAATGAAACCAATTACTGATTTATAAACCTTTTCAAAAGTTCTCTCACTTGTGCGGACATGTTATCATTCTCCTCATGATTTTCAGAGTCATCATCACTTTGATATTCTTCCACCAAATACTCTTCCATGTCATAATCTCTTTTATCTATCTTCAAACCTAAACCATTACTATGATCCTTTTTCTAATTAAATTATAATAATATAAATTACAAAGTGATATAATATCATGACCATAAATACTTGTCATCATACATACCAATCTCTTTTGAATGACATTACCACCAACTGTTCGATAAGTTGCTTTTTGCCTTTCCAATTTCTCTTTTTTTCTAATCATTTGAATTCTTTTATTTAATTCTTGCTTTCTTACTAAATCTTCTTGGCGTTTTTTATTTTTACTATATTCTAAGACCCAAGATGGCTCTTTTTTTAAATAAAATGTCAATCATTTATAGCTTTCAATAAAATACTGAATATACTTTTTACCATTAGGATTTCCTGTCCAAGTAGTATTTACATGATTACTTGAGCTGTATCTTTCTTCATTATCTTTAAGCCATTTTAGAGCTCCACATATTATACTTAGAGATTTCCCCTAAGACGCGTCAACCAAAATGGAAAGTAGTTATTTACGTAAAAATAATTTATTAAAAATCAATTTATTTATTTATTTATTGAAAAAAATATTTAATAGCATACAGTTCCGGTTGGACTTTCAAATATGCCGACTTTTCCTTCTTCGATAACTTGATACAAGCTTTTCATAAATTCAACTTGAATATTATATGGTTGAAAAGGAAAATTATACGCAGTTATATCTGTCGGTGGTAATAAGACAGAATTATTTTGTTCAGTAATTTGTTTTACGTCCAGTATAACCATTTTATCATGGACGCGTAGCAGAAGTTGAAGTTGTCAGTTGTCAGAACAAAATTTACGTGACGCGTAATTTATAGCAATTTATGGTTTAAGGACCGGAACCCGGATTATCAAGCCCTGTTTTTAATCCGGTTTTTGAATTTTGATTTTTTTTTTCAACCCTTTTTCTTTTAACGAAATTCTTTTATCATGATTCCGCCACCTATTCGACATGGTATGACAGTACTCAACAGAGAATTATTTCGACGCGAAATTAGTGTTATAGGAGTACGCATCCCTACGAGTTTAACAGCAAAGTTCTTGAAAGTGTTAAATAAGTATGTTTTTAAAGTACTGGTCAATTTTGGGAGTGTACCTTCATTTACAGTGTACTTTTTTGAAACAGAGAATTGCTCAATCAACCAAAGCTGAGAAACGTAGTGAATGATCCTGAATCCAATTTATCAAGAATTATTTTAATGAACCTCAACGTTCAGAGCTTAGGTAGTGTTATTTGATATTTATTCAATAAGATCTCATATTAATATGGTTCTCTTTAACAATCTAGATCTTGCTAATTTATCTAGCGAAGCAAAAGATTTTATTAACAAAGAAGGACTTGGCGTCGTGAAGCATTCAATTGAATTGAAATATGATTATTGGGGCGTTGGTATATATCGTAATTGATCTTATTAGTAATCGGAAATTTCTTTAATTTATAACGAATTAATTCAATTTTCGACTTAAAGATGATATAATCAAAGCTATTTTGCCTGAGGGCTCGGAATCACCATCCTCTTTTACACAAGTTGGACATATTGGTGAGAATCCTTTTTTCAACGAATATAATAGTAATTTTCAGAGTTGTTAAGGAAAACCTTTTTTTTTGGTTAAGCTCATGTAAATTTGCGAGATGAATTTCTTCCATGGAAATATATGATAGGCCAAGTCATTCTTGATGTAAGTTTGAAGCTTAATATTCTTTAATGTAGTATAAAACATTGTTGCTTACTATTATGTAAACTTTTTAAGAAAATTCCAAATATTTTAACGGTCGTGAACAAAACCGATGTAATTGATTCAACATATCGATTTTTTAAAATGGAAGTTTTGGCCGGAGAAAATAATATGATAGCTGAAGTGGTCTGTCTTAGTAGCAAGTATTTATTTGCAAGAAAAGGATTTGTATTTTATATAAATAAGTTAATAATGATTTCTAACCAAAAAATTTATTTTTATAAATATTAGAAAGAAAGTAATTGTAGATTTCGATTTGATTTCTCACAAGTGTATTGGAATTCTCGATTACATACTGAACATGATCGTCTGGTAAAAATGTTTAAAAAAGGAGATTATATATGTAAGTAGAGTTAATCTATTATATTTATTTTATATAATGGCTTTTAAGCCAATTTATTTTTCTTTTGAAAATATAGGCGATGTTTTTGCTGGAGTGGGACCTTTTGCAATTCCAACCGCGAAGAAAGGGTGTATTGTTTACGCGAATGATTTGAATCCTATGTCATATAAATATCTTCTGGAAAATATTTCATTAAACAAAGTAATTATCATTTACTTCACATATTCTTAAAAGTACATGATTATTGATTTTGAATTTGTAGGTAAATAATAAAATTCATCCGTATAATCTCGATGGCCGTGATTTTATAAAGAAGGCAGTAAAAGATTTGGGAAAAAATCTCAACGCTCTAGATCAAACTAAGATGACAAAACCTATGGATACGGTAACAAATACATTAGCTGAATTTCGAACTTTTAATCATTTTATAATGAACTTACCCGCAACGGCTATAGAGTTTTTAGGTAATTAACATCTTTATGTAAAATAATATTTACTACTTTCTTGAATAAATTAATTGATTTTCATTTGTAGATGCTTTTAAAGGACTTTATAAGGATAAAGAATCATTGATCAAAAATTCTCGCGTAGATTTGCCGATGATTCATTGTTATTGTTTCACAAAAAGCGAAACACCCGATACCGAAATGATCGAAGTAAGCTTTGTAGTGATATTATTATGATTAATTTAATTGTCCTTATATTTTAACCTTTCTTCTATTTTTAAAAAATGTTTAGCGTATTAATTCAATCATAACATATTCAATGCAAGTAGATGAATATAAGATCCATTTTGTTAGAAAGGTTGCACCGAATAAAGACATGTTTTGTGTTAGCTTTAGATTAAGCAAAGAAGTTGCTTTTCTTACTACCGGAAGGTATGTTACATAAATTTTTCACATAATGCACGGACATCTTCATGCATATTGATGTTAGCTGTATATTATAGTAAAAAGAGAGAAGAAGATATAATAGCTAGCACTTTGCCAAATAAGAATGAAGTAAGTGTTTTTGAGAAATCTAAGGAGCAAAAATCAGTATCAAAAAGAAGAAGAATAGAAGGGGAAGATTAATAATTAGATTTCAATTATTGTCTTTATTAATACAAGGTTGGACTAATGGATTTCCCATCGGTCCATATTTAATACAATTTGACGTGTAAAAAAAATTTCTTGTGATCTATTATAAATAATGAATGAATATATTACTTCTCTAAATATTTAAATACTTTCTAACATTTATATACTTTAATAACTTAATAAAACTAAAATAATTATTATATTATACTGATTTACTTCTTTATATATGTAATTATTATATCAATTCCATTATAATAGTTGGAAAGATGTATGAAATTCATTCATAATAAAGGTTTGCAATGTTCACCATATAAGAATAAAATAAAGCAGTTATAAAATAATTATTATTTTCACAGATATTACAATGCATGTTTGTTTTGTTTAACTCTCACACTTATAACACCCATTTTTGAATGCTAGTGATAGCAATATAAAATAAGGTAATTTATAAAAAAAACAATCGGCTTAAATGATGCTATAAAAGATTTAAATGAAAAAAAAATTAAGCAAGAAAAGACTAATGTTCTACAAAGTCATATTGCATTCAAAGTTTAGCCGGTAAATTTCTTCATTATGAATGTTATAATTTTATTGTTGAGCACATTGTACACTTGGGCCATGACCTTCGTCTTCATCTTCCCCATTAGCCATATGATTTGATGCCGAACGTCGCTGTTCGTCGTCATTCATTGTTGTTAATTCAACATCTTCTATCATAGCATCCGGAGGAGTATCTAATTCTGGCCGTGGAGGTAAAATCTTCTCGAGTGACATGATAACTTGTTTATCAACCCAATTGGAAGGTGGGAATTCTATATCAAATTGTATATAGAGTGTACCAGGCTCATGGAAACGTTGTGATGGCATTCCATGATGACGAATAGCTTTCAATTGTCCTATGAACCATAGATTTTAATTAGAAATTAATTTAAAATTAAAAAGTTAATTATTGTAACTTACCAGGTTTTATAACTTCACCAGGTTCAATATTAACCACTAAATATCTTTCATCAAGATGTTTAATTGCGAATTGGCCACCTGCCAACGCTGTTAAAAGGTTTATCTTGGCTGTATAATATAAATCATTTCCACGGCGTTGGAATCGGTCATGGGATTTTTCTTCGATTTGAATTATCACATCGCCAGGTTCGACGCCAGGACTTTGATCAGCCTCACCAGCGAATGTGATTTCCTGACCATTTTTCATACCTTTATCGATATGAACCTCAAGTACCTTACGTTCACTAACAATTTTTTTACCTGAACAATTTTTACACTTGTCTTTGTCTTTAATAATTTCACCTTCGCCTCCACATGTATCACAGGGTTGTTGAATTTGCTGTACCATAGGACCCAAGGTTCTGAGGAGAACTCTTACTCCAGTACCATTACAATTTGAACATTTTTTGACTGCACCTTCTTTTCCACCCCTACCCTCACATTTTGAACAAATCACATTCTTGTTCAGAGATAATTTAGAAGTCTTTCCAAGATATAAATCTTCTAAAGACACCTTAAGTACATGTTTTAAATTCTTGCCTTTTCGTGGACCTTGTCGTGATCTACCACCTCCAAATACATTACCGCCAAAGAAACTTGAGAAAAGGTCTTCGGCTGACATTCCGCCCATTCCTCCATCATTTGCTAAACCTTCTTCTCCAAGTTGGTCGTAAATATCTCGTTTTTCTCTATCTGAAAGAATTTCAAATGCGTGTCCAATTTCTTTAAATTTATCAGCAGTATTTGGATTCTATAAAAAAATAATTAAAATAAATGAGATCATAATTATAAAATCAATTTATATATACATAATTTTTTTTTCTTTTTTTTTTTTAGAAAAGCATAATTTAATAGATCTATAACCTATAAAGTTTTCTATATAAACCAATAAATGTCATCTAATCCATTTAACAACGGTCATCTAATTTAGAGTTTCTGACGTACATGAGTCATTAACTTTATTTCCACAGTCTCAAATACACAAACTATCTAGGGAAGAGAAATATATTTATATACCTTGTCGGGATGATACTTGAGTGCTAACTTTCTGTATGCCTTCTTTAATTCTGAGTCTGAAGCATCAGGAGGAACTTCCAAGATATCATATAGTTTAGTGTCCTTTACCATTTTTGTATAAATTTAACGATTAACCTTCGAAAAGTAAAATTTGTACAGTGAATTTTTTTTTCTTTTTTCTTTTTTTCCTTTTTTTTTTTTTTTAGTTAAATAACTATTNTATAATATTAACTAATTTTTTTTAAGTTACATATTTTATTGATTCAAAAAAAAAAATTTTTTTTTTACTTTATATATTTTATATTACTGATTAGACTTGATATATATATGATTATACAGGAATGTTCCAGCACTTTCTTTTTTGTCTTCGCCATATCTGCATATATCAACGGGTGTGGGATCAAGGAATTTTAACTCCATTTAGAATTATTGTTAAAGGAGATTAAACTGATTTGGAAATAATGAAGCATATTTGTATATTCTTTATACCCTGTAATGCGGAAAAATATAGAATTTCGGCAATTTGTTTAAAAAATTCCTGCGATTTTAACAAACGGCCACAATCTCAGCCTTGTAATCAATCATAAAATTTCCTAATTTATAATTCATTATCGTTTCATATTGGGATAATTATTTGTTAATTTTATGACGCAGTGTAACAATTTTCTGAATTCCGAAAAATGGTGAAAAACGCGCGGATTGATGATTATATATTATATATTTCGAATTACTAAACTATCAGTTTTTTTTTATTTTATTCTATTCTTAATAGCTTTTAGATGAGAAATGTCAGCTATATGTACGAATTATTTTGATATATTTGATAATCATTTTCTTATCGAGTCAAGGAAAAACTGGCCTTGGAAAGACGCGTCAATTGGTAAAAATAATAATAAATAAATAATTTTTAATCTTTTTTTCTTATTTAAAATATAATTTTTCTTTTCATTAGATAAATACGAACCTACGTACAAGCAATTAAATTCAATAAAAAGGAAAGATTCTTTAAAAATAGTTAAACGTTATTATAAAATACCCCTTATTTCATATAAACCATATTATGTACATAAATCACGAATAAAGATATCTTTGAAAAGTACTCATACTTTCCACACACTAAAGAATTGTCTCACTGCATATGATGGTCATAGATCATTTTATAATGCTATACAGATCTTACTTTATTTCTGTTGGAATCATAAATTGATTTATTTTAGGAAAAACGATAATTCATTACTTCCGATTGTCAAGATTTATATGGAATTGAGCCCTGATGAACAAGTCATGTGGTTACCTGGATTGAATTGGTAAAAAGGATCTAATTATAATATTTTTATTTCAAATATTGAATTTTATAATTATCTACTATTTTTTAGGGCTAGAAAGCTTTATTCTCTAATAGCTTGGCAAGGAATGTTTCTCTTCCAAAGCACATTTTTTTCTGTTCTTGGTGGAGCGTATTCTGCACTTGGAAGATATAAAAAAGAACATGTATGAAGAAATATAATTATTAAATTATTAAAAATATCGCCTTATTAAATTTATTATTTTTTTATTTAATTGATTTAATTCATATTTATTAGGCTGAAAAAGCTAAACATCTCGCACGTAATCAGATTGTACTGGCTAAAAAATTACAAGATCCAGTGTTAGAATGTAAATGTTGGATTTATTATGCTGAAGGTTTGATTCAACTCGGAAAACTTAAAAAAGCTGCACTTATTATTGAAAGACAAAAGAATATGGTGATGGACATGCTTAAAGGCGACGACACAGTTAGTATAATATTTTTAGTTCCTTTTAAAATTTTTGGTTAAGTCAGCTGTTAAAATCATTTTCTTTTCTTTTTTTATTAATAGCTTTTGAGTATGTGCGAAAATGCTAAATTAAAATTAATGGTAAATTCCAAAAAAAATAAGAAAATAAGAGAATTATACGTAATTTAAGTGAGTTTATTATTTATCATCATTTTCTTTTTTTTTTTTTAAAAAAAAAAAAAGAAATTCCTAATAAGAAATTCGTCAAAAATTTGCAGAAATATTTATTTATTTCGTTAATTAAATGATAAGTTATTCAAGTTGATATTTGCTGGTATTAATTGCTAAAATGTTAAAATTTTAATTAATATTATTATTTTAATTGTGATTTTTGTGTAATACATTATTTTTTATAATATATTTTGTAAATAATTAAATATGAAAAATAACTAAATTCTAGTAAATCACACTTAAATCATAATTTACAAAATGGGTTAATTGGATTTTTATATGGTAAAATTCTTAATTGGTTATGTAAATTGTCAAAATCACGAGTGTAAAAGTTTACGTTAAACCATGCCAAAGTTGTTTTCTTGCCTCGGACGCTTAGTATCAGATAATATATCAAGTTAAGTATAATTCAATGATAAAATTATATACACTAACCATTTTATACAATATACATTATATTCATTGTATTTAAAATATATTTAACCTTTCATATTATATCTTTTTATTTAAAGAATGTGTAAGCTTTGGACCAATTTCAAGTCAAATACCATTAATATATAACTCTTTTTATCATAAAATAATTCATCACAAAGTATCCCGTTCAGTTAGTACAATCCCGACTTCAGAACCTTCTCTAAATACAAGTGAGAAAGAAGATAAGGTTCACCAAGGTGATAAATATATAAAAGTTCCATACCGTGGTCTTATAGAATTACATGGTTATGATACCATAAAGTTTTTACAGGGGCTCATAACTAATAATATGCCATCGATAAGTTCTGGTGGTGATGGATTTTACACAGCATCTTTGAATCCAGTTGTATGTACTTTTAAAAACTCCTTTATAAACCTTTTATATATTAAGTAGTAATTTATTTTAGGGTCGCGTATTGTTTGACGCATTTATCCATCCAAAAAATTTGGGAACATCATTTCCGCATCCGACATTTTTGGTTGAATGTGATTCACGTATTATACCAGAAATAATAAAACATATGAAAAAATATTTATTGAGATCAAAAGTTAATATTACCGATGTTTCTTCATTATATCAAATTTGGAATGTGTGGGGTAATGAAATTAATAATTTGTGGTGGAGACATCAAGTACCAAATCCCTCAGCAACAAAATTACATACCGGTACTTTAGTATTAAAAGAAAATATTGCAGAAATTGGGTGTAGAGATAAAAGATATCCTAATATGGGACTAAGATTAGTATTACCAGTTGATACTAAACGTAAGTTTACTGTTAACTTTCTAAATTTTGTAAATAGTTTATAACTTAATCAAACTTATTCTTTTCAATAGCGACATTACCAAATTCATTCACAGAATTACCTTCAAAAGAATACATCATTAGAAGAATTTTACATGGAGTTCCTGAAGGTATCCATGATTTCCCTCAAGGGGAAGCATTGCCATTACAATCAAATTTTGACTACATGGGAGGAAGTAAGTTATGGGGAAAATTATGTTATTTCATTTTAAATTGAATTTAACTTTTTATATATATTATTTTAGTTGATTTTCGTAAAGGTTGTTATATCGGACAAGAACTTACATTTAGAACATATCATACTGGAATCACAAGAAAACGTATTTTGCCTGTGCAATTATATCATGAAGGCGAAAGGTAAATTTATTTTCAAATTTTTATTAATAGTTGTTTATAATAAAAACATAATATATGGATTTTTCAATATAATATGATAGCGTGCCAACCACATTAGAAGTTGATCGCAACTCCAATTTCCTCCTTCCGCCACCATCTAGTGATGTTATTGTATTAAATAGAAAAGGTCGTCCAGTAGGTTCTATTGGTACTTCATGTCATAATATAGCTTTAGCATTATTGAAATTAGATATAATTCAAAGTAATGATTTAGTAGTAGATAACGGTCAAGGAGAGAAATTAAGAGTAAAAGCTTTTATTCCTCATTGGTGGCCAAAGGTTGATGAAAAGGATACAGAAGAAAAACCAAAAGAAACAGCACTTGCTTAAATATTATCATTGCTATATAATTTAATGTTATTACATTAAATGGGTAAATTTGGATTAAATTCATGATGATTAACATGAATTATTTCATTAAATTAAGAAAATATAATCTCTAAAAAGAATAAAGCGTATTATATGTTAAAAACAATTTCTTAATACTTTTGACAGATTAGTAATTTTCGTTTTGACATTATGCGACGAGAAACCAAAATCATCTTACCTATATGATATATATATCTATTATTTTCCATCTCCGCTTGTGATGAACATCTAGTACAATTTTTTGCAGCTTTTTATATTTTTTATATTTGAATACAAAAAAAAAAACTTCGAAATTTTTTGAACATTTTTAAAATAAAGAAAAATCAGTCTGAGAAGGTAATGTATAATAATAGCTAATAATATTTCATTTATTAATATATTATTCTCTAATTTAACAATCTATTTTAATAAAAATTAGGATATCTTTTCGACTATAATGAAGGAATTTGACTGTCAATATGATTTCAAATTTAACAAAATGGCCTAGTGATTTAGAATTTTAGATATACTAGACAATCACATCAACTTGCTTGTGAATTAGCTGAATATTTAAATATGCTAATAGGACCCCGAACATATCTCATACAACTCACATTAGAGTTTACAGCTTTTTAGCTTTGTTCCACATATTTTGATTTAAATCATTGTTAGATCCAGTATAATTAATTAGTATATCTACATATGTATCTGTTACACCATGAAATAATAAATATTTCAATATATTTTCATGGGATCAAGATACATAGTCATTCTCGTTTAAATACTGCTCTATTAAATTTTTATTCTAAGTTCTAAAGAAGTCAACATCTGTAAAGAGTTAGGTATCATTATTAGTTATTATATAACAAGGAAGTATAATATTTAAAATAAGTATGCTCAGTGGAGAGGGTTTTCGAACTCACATGCCAAAGAGAATACAAAATATGCTTAATGGAGAGGAATTTCAACTCATGTGCCATGAGAATATGGGTTATCCTGATATATAGTAAACGAAAATATTTATACTTCCTTAAAGATAATATAGATAATATGAGTTAGGAGAATTACACAGCACTAGAATGTAAACTTTTTTTTTTAAGAGCTTAGCCCTGTTCAAAATCATTCAGTCTAAAGCTCTAAATGGTCCGGATTGGTCCAGGTTGAAGAGTAACCCCAGGACCAGACTGAAAAATTGCTTTATTTCAGTTTGATCCAGATTATGTTAAAAAGATAATTCAGGACTGGATCAGACCAGACCAGTTATTTAATTTGGTCCAGTCCGATCTTATAATAAAAGATCTGAAATTCTAATTGGCTGTTATAATATCACGTGACCAAAATTAAATTTTTACCAAAAATATAACTGTATTCTAATTCCATAATTCTGGCTCTATAGTGAGTAGTGATTCACCTGACATATGTAACTTCGATTTAAGCCTATACAGTCAAACCTTTATATAATGATATGTTGAAACATATATGAAATTTTTAGGAAATATCATTATATCAAAGTTATACCGATATTTATATGTCCTCACATATAGTGGAAAAATAAAATTTTATCGATATATCAAGTTTTCAATGATAGTATATCAGTATATCAAATATTGGTATATTGAGATTAGACTGTATTTGCTTTGTGTAATATATATATTATATAAAGAAATTATGCATCTTTATGCACTACTATACATGTTGAAATTCGGCAATTTTGACATAATTTCAGGATTCAACCTTTAGCCAATCATTCTGAAATGAAACTCTAATCAAAAGTCAAAACTGAGCCAAAATTTTCTGGCCAGTATTATTGAATTTCGGCCTGCATTACAAGTTTGTATAACATTTATATAACACACAAAATTCCATTATAGGAGCAAAATTTTCCTTGTGTAATATTCTTACCTGGTGGCTAAACTTTTATCTGAAGTTACGCAAGGTATAATTCTAGTTGGCACTATAATATTGGCCAGAATTACAAAAACTTTCGAGTTTCTATTAAAAAAAAATTATATTTCAGACCACGTAATAAAAATTTCATTCAGATTTTTGTACTCCAATCACAATTCTGAATTTCAGCTTGATTTTCGAATTTTGGCAAAGGTTTCAGACCTAAGTTTTGGACTTTTAGATTCAGTTATAATTTCAGAAAGTTGCAACAACATGTTACATGTATATTATGCACTGATGTTATACAAAGTAAATATAAGATTAAAATGAAACTACACATATTAGGAAGATCACTATAGAGCTAGAATTATGGAATTAGAATACAGATAAAATTTTGGCAAATTTTCAGTCTAGTTCAGTCCTAACCTGTTTAATTCAGCCTGGATTAGATTTATAATTCTGGACCAGACTGGACTAAACCAAATATTTTGGTCTAAGTTAAAGTATCAACCTAGATTGAACCAATTCTAATTTTCAGTCTGGATTGCCAGATTAGATCCAGACCAGTTAAAGCTTTAATTCAGTTACATTTTTTGGTCAGTTGTAATTAATTTGATTGGCTGGATCTACTTGCATTTATTTACATGACCGATCTTTTAAACCAATATTTTTTAGGTTTTTTAGATCAAACTTTTTCTACCAATAAAATTGCTTTATTCTTAACTAGTATTCCTCATGAGTCGAATCAAGTCAAGTTTTGAATCAATTTTTTATATAATAAAATTTGTTCTATATTAATTTTTATAATACTTTAACTATATTATTTATATTATGTGAGTCAGGACTCCGGATATCTTCAAAACAGGTCATAAGTCATACTTTCGGCAGATTGGCCCATTTTTCAGGAGTTCAAAAAATCGTTTTTTGTAAATATCTTGGCATCCAGTAGGCCAATTTTGATGAACATTTTTTTAAATTATAGAGCTAAATGAGGACTACAAAATAAAAAAAAGTTCATTAAAATTGAATCACTAGATGCTGAGATATTTACAAAAAATCATTTTTTGAGTTTCAGCAAAAAGGGGTGTTTTTGGCCAAAAGTCCATTATGATCTTAATATTAGATATCCAGGATCCTTGCGAGTCTATGTAAGTTATTTTGAGTTGCATATGTGGAACACATCCAAAAAATACAATTGAATGATTTTGAACAGGACTATTGTTTATGTTACGCTGATACATGAAATATAACAGAAGTTTAATTTCATTACACAGGTCAAAATTGAGGCTATCGGTTGCATATCGGGTACCAGATATATGTAGGATATGTATATGATATGTATACGATATGCAACAATTACACACATATCAGGTACCTGATATCTGCAATGTTTATGCAGAAGTTCAGTGATATATATTATAGATATCGTGCACATATTACACATATATCGGGTAGTATAATATCGGGCACATATCTTATACATGTCGTATAAATATCATATAGATATTGGTCAGTATAATATCTGTCTCTTATACACATCTNATGTTGTTAAGACACATACGACGAGATTTGGTTTTGATTTTTATCATGAAGGAGCATAATATTAATATAATTATCGAGGGAAAGTTCATATTTCCACCTTGTTATGGTTGTGTCACCAGGGGCGCTATGTCAACGGAATTTTAGTACGTTGATCGCTTAAAAATCCGTAGCAATCCAATTATAACAAGAGGATGAATTTTTACAATTTTACATGATTAGATATTGTATTTGTATTGTACTGTATTCTATAAATAAATTTACAATGTTTTACAATTTAAAAATTTTAAAATATACACGTTAATAATATACAATAATATATATGTTAATAAATTACTAATACTACAATTAAAGTT